CTTTTTGAAGCAAATTTTGCAATATCTTCACCTTTCTTTACGATATAAAAGACTTAAGAATTAACTTTTTTCATGTGACTTTTCCGACTTTTTTTGTCAGTAATTCTACCTTTTAATAGTTAATACACAGCTTAATTTGGGTACGTAAGGGAAGGAGATTATAAGCTTACATTGTGTATTCCAACGTTGGCCTTCAATCCATATTGTGTTAACTGATTAAACGTTTGAAAAATGGAACTATTGTGTCATGTAATTACATGAGAATTGATGTTTGAATCTCATATCTTATTATTTAATACATCTGCAAAGATGAAACTTGTATTTAGTCTGTGTTAAACAAAATTTCTCAATGGAAGTTTTATTTTTTAGTGATTGAATCATTGAGAAATTTTGATTGGAACCATTCAATCGCTTATTGTTTTATTGCTTTTGTTGTCTTTATTGTTACTGGTAGTGATTTTACGTGGTTTTTCTATCCGCGTAGGCATTATCACGTTATTTTCTTATTAATTATACTGTGAGAAATTAATTATACTGAGTACTGTGAAAAATTTCAGGTTCTGTGTGGAAAATTGTCTTGTCGAGCCAAGTGTTTACGGGCAATAAGAGAAAGCTGCTGTGGCGTGCTTTACTGAAACAAGAGCGTATACGCTTGTTAAGCAAAATTATTGTTACTGGTGGTGATTTTACGTGGTTTTTCAATCAACTGATTTAGTTGTTTCCTCTCACGGACTTGATCTCGTTTGCATCTTTTTGGTGCATTCCACGCTTTCTCGTCCTTTTTCTTGATTCTTCGATTACTTCCACGAACTAATGGCCGACCAGCTCACCGAGGAGCAAATTGCAGGTGAGCTTTTAATTAACTTATTTAATTGCTTTTTTCTAAGGTATTGAAGCTTTTTATAAAATGTTATGTGTCTAGTTTAGGCTGTGTCTACTATTTAAATGAGAATGGTTGATAATAGGACGCTCTCTATGTAACAAAACGCTTCTATCTCTTATCTTGGGCCACATCTGTGCTAGCCCCTGAATAGTTTTTACCGAAAAAGCAGTGATTGAATCTTGGTATAGGATTCTGCTGTTTTTATATTAGAAATTCAAAGATTTCAGATGTTGTTAACATCTATCCGATGAACGTAGTGTTTAGAATGTATGTAGTATCTGTTGTAGGTGCTATGTATTCTTTTGTGTCGATTATACAAAATTATAATGAAATTTTTATAAGATGTGGTGGAAAGTGGTAGAATGTCGAAGAGGAATGAAGAGAATTGAAGTTTGGTATAAAACGAGCTTAACTCGATTTTGCTCTATAAACTGTATTAAAATATTAGGTGAAGAGTAAAGTATCCATTTGGAGATGTAAATGAATCACTTACCAAAAAAACTTTAGCTCAAATATTAGGAATGAAAATGCCATATGAACGTAGTGTTTAGAATGTATGTAGTATCTATACGATAGATAGCTTCGAAGAGAATAAAGATGAATCAATATAGAAAGCTCTCTGTGTTGAAGGCTTACCATATTATTTGTTGTTGCTTCCTTTATCACATGTTTATGAGGAATAGGAATTTGAGATATCAATATGAAATTTTGAACTTCGATAACTTTGAGGCATCAGCCATCTGATCAAGTTTCTGAAATTTTTGTTAATATTTCTTCGAAATTGAGAGTTCACTACATTTAAACAAACGTGGACTCTATCCCGGTCATATGATGTGAAATGACTAGCATTAAGATATTTAGTGCCAAGAAGTATTGGAGTGCGCATTAATTTCTACCAAAGTGGTGTTCTCTTAAATACAAACAAAAACTGTTTATGGATAGTATTTGATTATAAAAACAAATGGCTTGCCTAGAAATTCAATTTAGATTGAAGTAGGATTTTTATGGCTTTTGCAAAGTAGAATGGATTAACGCAAATTTTTTCTCTGAACACTTCAATTAAACTTGAAAAATAACACACGCGTACACTGTACACTGACGTCGTTGACAACAAGGGACGTTCATAAATTGAAATTCAGGATTTCAGTAGCAAGATGTGATTTGATTTCGTTTACTTTGAAAGTATAGTTTAACTAGGCCATTCAAAACAACGTGTTAATTTTGGTACCAATTCTTAAATCTACTTTAAGCATAGGTAGTTGTTTTGCCAAAAAACAAAATTCCTAACTTTTGAATCTCTAGAACAAACCGGTAATATACAACAAGTTAGCTTAAACAGGCTTCCACAATGTGCTGAGAAGGAGATTGTACATACTCAACTCGAAGTTTTTGAGAGTTCTGGTCTCTACAGTTTTATTTTCACTTCAAGTTTCTTAGGTTTGTTTGGAAACATTCATATTTCTTTCCTGATCGTAAACTGTGTTCAAGACTACTTCTAAGATTCTTGTTGTTTGTCCAAATTTCCTGATCCCGATTCTTTACTGGGATTTTATATCCGTGATTTTTTCTGTTTATCTCGATATAAGGATATAAAATTTCTAGATTTAAACATAATGCTTGAAATACATCTGATAGTTACTGTTTGTATTTCGTAGCAGTTTAAGAAATTCAGAGCTTATCCTTCATCTCATTATGGTTTGTCTTTTTTATGGTGATAAGCAAAGCGGACGTTATGGACATATTGGAGATGAAGTTCTTATACGCAATATTTTTTTCAGAATTCAAAGAGGCATTTTCGTTGTTCGACAAGGATGGGGATGGCACAATTACAACAAAAGAATTGGGTACGGTAATGCGATCGCTAGGCCAGAATCCGACTGAAGCCGAATTACAGGATATGATTAATGAAGTTGATGCTGATGGTTAGTTAAAGTGATGTGGACTTTTATTTGCTTAAAATTTGCTTTTTTTTCACTCTTCTTGTCAAATTAATCGCTATGTATCAGGCAGCTTGAAGGTCATCATTTAATTTTTCCCTTGTGGCTAATTACAGGTAACGGAACCATTGATTTTCCGGAATTCCTCACGATGATGGCACGGAAAATGAAGGATACAGATAGTGAAGAAGAGATTCGTGAAGCCTTCCGAGTATGTTTCTAATATTTTTTATTGCTTTAGCGAATTGTCCTAATTACATGTAACCTGACCAGGGATTAAATTCAGCAAATGTTAATGTAGGGATTTTTTGGTGAGACCCATAAACACTTATATGAAATGTCCTCATACCGGAATTTCCCGGAATCTGTATTCCGTGACCAGGTAGTTCTTGTTGTGCTGATTTCATATGGATTTTGAAGTTGATTTCCTTAAATGCGTATAATCGGCAAAATTCATTTCCTGTTGTATATTTAGCTATGCATTCACACATTGGATTCAGGCACCTCTTATTTATACAAGCCACAAAATTCCATTATTTCTTTGGAGGTGTTCGACAAAGATGGCAATGGTTTCATATCTGCAGCCGAATTGCGTCACGTTATGACCAATCTTGGTGAAAAATTGACCGATGAAGAGGTGGATGAAATGATTAGGGAAGCTGATATTGATGGTGATGGTCAGGTCAATTACGAAGGTGGGCACTCTTATCGGGATTTTGACATTTCCAGTTATCTCTGATATTTGTTTACTGTGTAGAAATTAATAGTATATTAACTAGATGTGAGTCTAGAAGTCCATGTACAAAAATTGCGACATGTTTTGTTTGAGATTTAATGACTGTACTAAAGTATATAATATCACCAGTGATAAATAATGTGCAGAGTAAGACTTACGATTAAAAAAGATAACCAGAATTGGTGGAATATAAAACAAATATTTTAAAATATGGACGATGGTACTTTTTCAGTTTTTTATTCCTTGGGAATAGAATTTTTTTTAGTCTAAAAGATATCGTAGTTTTCGTTTCTCTTTTCACATTTACATACATCTATATTGTTTTATAATTGCGGATTTACACATTTAAAAATCAAGAACTGTTAATTATAATGAAGATGGATTTTGAATAGTTGGAATTAGTGAACATTTTTCGCTGCTTGCTTTCTATTCTGATTTGCTTTTATGGTCTGTAAAAAAATATGAATTTTACTTAACGTTCACTTCTACCTGAAGCATTACATTTTTTCAGAGTTTGTGACGATGATGACAACTAAATGAGTTTGTATGAGCAGTAACGACAGGCAGAGTTGTGAGGTCGACCAATATCTTATCTATCTATTTATCAGCAAAATAGAAAGCACAAGTTTTTTATTTGCTGTCATAGAAAACCGTTCGCGTCATATTTATATCTTGAAAAAATTCATGAAAGCCTACATACTGTGAAATTATTTTATCATCAATATTATTATGCAGAATCGTGTTTTTACATTTTTTACCTGTCTGTCTCCAAGACATGAAATTTCGTCGTCTTGCTTTTTTGTGTTCACACAAGTTCGTTGTTTCTTCAAAATATGACTTAATGAATAAGTGCAAAGCTCGCGAAATTGGCTTTCCAACGCTGAATTTTACTGACTCTTTAAGACTATTCTGTCCATGACTTTCAGCAAATGTTCGTTTTTTCCTACCAAAAGTTTTCGGATTTTCATTGGAAGCTTTCGGATTTTTTTGACGTGATCGTAAATACTCCTTTATGGTTAGACTAACATAACTTTTACATTTTGGAAAGCAAACTCATGCATTCCCAGTGGTGCACGAATGAATATTTTCTATCGTTTCCAAAAATACTTTTTATTTTCCTCAATTTTCATGTGTTCTTTATATATTTGGACTTCAGTTCTTGCTTCTTGATAAAATGTGTTCGTTCTGAATATTTTTTTCTGAGTGTTCATGGAGTAAAATTGACAGAAGATAACACGGGGTGAGAAGCTGTGTTTTAAAGCTCTTCTGTGGGTAATATTTTAGAATATTTGTTGATGAATGATGATGACGGATAAATAATATTTGTCAGAACATACCTTACATTAGAGAATTCATGAGATATTTTACTGAAATATTCCCTGGGACATATTCGGGAAATTCAATCTGCTAAAACATATCGTAGTCTTCCAAAAAATATTTGGAATTACGTTTTATAATGATCGTTAATAAGTCGATGAGTTTCGGTTCCATTCACTTTAACTGACTTTGGCTTAAAATTAGGGCAGTCAATTTTGACATTGATTCGCCTGGATTCCTTCGGACTCTTGATGAGCACTTTCAATTCCAACATGATGCCATCCAAGCTTTCAAAATTATTGACATGCACCTGGAGAAGGTTGATCTGTGCGAGGCTCAAGCTACGTAATGTCAATTTACCTATTTCTTCAACAACTATCGAAGAAGGGATGGACGGGGTATCCTCTAATTCCTTTCTCATTAAAGCTACCATGCTTTTTAAATAGTTTGGGCTAGGGAGATTCAGTTGCTCTTATCCAAATGTGTTAATCTGTATATCGACCTCCCCTTTTTTGTTGTTGTAACCCTTCTAATTCTTATGAAAAGCGACTATATTTGTTTATTGCTAGATCTGTCTAGAAAACCCAAGAATTATCAAATCTTGATCTGTTTTAATGCTGCAATTGCTGATAAACTTACAACACCCGGTATTACAATGGTACCATCGGGTTTCATCGCTGGTTCCAATTGATCTCTCCCGTTTTGCATAAAATTGTAAGCTCCAATCAGTGACTCATCGTCGTCCGACGACGATTCATCAACAGTTGAGCTTTTAAGATCTGTCGTTTCACTAGTGATCAATGTTTCAGGTGACTCAGTTATCGATATTATACTTATCTGTGATGTGTTTCTGAAATATTTATCCTCCCTATTCATAATTGGCATCATGTGCAAATGAACAATTTGGTAATGAGTAAAGAAAAAAAATAAAGTAAATAAACCTATCCCACTTGCTAGTTGTTCCTGAGATCGAAAAAAAACTTGACCATAACCAATTATCTTTCATATTTCAAAAATCGAATTAAAGAAGAACATTTGCATAAATTACTCGGTAAGTTGCTCAAAATTCCCCTGCATACGTGGTTTATGTTGTGTTTTCACCTTATCGCTCTCAATACCGGCTGATGTAGAATTAAAGTCATATATATTTTCTTCTCCTTTGTATTGGTTCAGTATTTTATGAAGATCTGATCTGAAATTATGTAAAGCTTCCTTAAAAAAAATTACATCTTTAATTAGCATATTAAATTTCGAGTAATTTATTTTAACCTTAATAATTACGACTATCATTCTTTAATGCTACATTTCTTTCATCATTATTAACAATTTTTTAATTGGACAACACAAAAGCTAAAAGTGATGATAGACCTAATAAAGAACGTTCAGATAAACTGATTTGATCAGTTCTCAACCGAATGATTCCGCACTTTCAAAAGAAAAAAGAAAAATTTGATTTTTATTTCATTTTAAATCACATAAATATAAGTCAATTTTCGTTTATTTATAAACTTTCAAGAACTTTCATCGTGTATTTAGCATTTTTATTTAATAAATTAAATTTCCATTCTACCTGTAAGACTGAATAATGCTTTCATTGTCCGGTGCATTGCCATCTCTCGGAATATGTTGTATTCTACTATCAGTGGAACATTCCCGGGAACTTTTGCCAGCCACGTGTCTAATTACTTTCAATCCATTTAGCCTAGATTTATACAAATTTTAGATTTAAGTATAAGAGAGAAATAATTCATATTGCTATAATTAATTACCTTTTGGCTTTATTATTTATAATAAAGCGTTTCAGTTCTTTTCGATTTAATTCAATAAAGCCATCATCTGAGGGCCAAATTTCCCGAGCAATCTAAAAGGAATTTTTATACTTATAAAATCAAACTTATAAAATTTAAAATCCTATAAGTTAATTTGAATATTTGAGAACAAAATTTATGAAGATTTGTTATAAATCTATTAGAAAATTTTGATAATTCCATCACCAGATTACGTCCATCGCACTTGAAGAATCGATCGCAGCAAAGATATCGCACTCCCGGCCTTTCATTTAATACTAATGGTGATGAAATTTCAGAATTTTCCATTACAGCGCTTTCTTGTCCTGAAAATATATGGAAATATTAAGTTCAGAGATGATCTACCAGAAATCAGGATTGTATAAAATAATTTCTTGCCTTCCAGCTTTTCTACATCAATAACATCTCGATCAGGTTGTCTTCTGGAATCTCTCATTCGATTCGAATCTTGCATTGATGTCATCATTTTGGCCCCATGTTCAGGGAGTTGTTTTAGTGCCTATGGAGAAGAAAGTTTTTTTTTTGCAGTATGTATTTGTATTTTATAACTATATTTTAGTACATATCTTACCAAATAGTATGTATTTTAAAAAATTACCTTAGTTGTAAAATAGTACCTCTTTTACTTTTCATATTATATCTTTTGATAAATAAGATTACAATTACCATTTCAGCTTTATTGATAACATCGAAAAGCAACCGCTCTACTCTCGCTGTCACTTCCGAAGGGCCACATAGTTCACCAATACGAGATTCATTTGAGCTAGCCAGCTCTGCTAGTTTTACAACCTCACTCTAAATTTAGTATAACCAACAGTGCAAGTTCAATCTTTTCAGTTATATTTATAAGGGTAAATGAAAATTTTAATTTAAAATTAATATTGTTCAGCATTGTCTACTGTGAATTAATAATAACACTGTTGTTAAAGTACTTGAACTGTAAATTGCAACAATGCTACATATCTTAGAAAACATGCAAATTTTTTTAAAATCTTAAAGGACGGAATATTAATTTATTAAGTGTTTGATGTAGGAGGTAAATGCAAAGATGAATATCACCTCAAATTCCGTCTTAGAATTTCAATTAAATTTGTTCATTTTTTAACATTCAGATTTCAAATATGCTCTGTGATACCTTTGAAGTTTCATGAAAACAACACGAAGGCCAGAAAACAATTAATAAAATCAATATTAATTTGATGTTTCACTGCGGAGAAAATTGAAATCATTACAAATTTGTGATGAACTGAAATAATGAATGGTTGAATAGATATTACTAAATATAATCAAATAGTAAATTAAGGATCAGAAATACAAGGAATTCAAATTTAATCAATGATCCAATTCATGCTTATCAAATGCAATATCAAAACACTTTGATGAGTTTAAAAAAATTAAAAATTCTCACTTTTATTAATTTAACTGAAATTTGTAGCATATTTGATTCTCTTCCGAAAATATGTATCACTGCAACCACCTACACTGATCATTCATAATATCATCATCTATTGGATCAGTTGATATCTCATTAATCCTAAATGATCAATTCCAACCTAAATTAAGTTTTTTTTTCTTAGCTCGTTAGAATATTTCTTTAGCCTACTAAAATTTTTCAGCATCCCTCATCATATTTCGAGAATATGTGCAATTTTCAATAATATTTAATGGAATTATACAAATCGAAATTTCATCTATAATTCGTTGTTTTAGGTAAATTTAAAATCCATTAATTGAAATAGAATAAAGTTTACTTATTCTGTTTTTAATTTGTCTTAAAACAAAACGAATTATAGTTATAAATACAAATTTACTTACCTAATGACTCAATTTTCGATTATAAAGTATAAATGTTTTTTTTTTTTTTAATCCTGTAATTTATATAATAAAAAAAAATGAATGAATATAGGACAGGCTTAGATTTAGATTGCGATGGATATAAGTATAGATTTTAACAAGATATTGAGTGAAAAATCGCAAACAAATGCGTAATGCGATGAATAAAATAACGTTACAGTAGATGAAAAAAACATCGTAAGTGATATTGCTGTATTGGCAACTGATGAATTTGTAAAAAGATCGTGTACAGTTGGTAAGAATAATTACTATCTATTTCATTGAATAATTTACTACGTTTTCATTTCACTCTATTTGAGTCATCTTTTCAGAGATTACTTGTTAAATTTATTACAAAACAATATGATCATTATTTAGACGTGGAAGGTTTACGACAAGAATTTGCTAATTTAAAAGATTACATTTCATCATGTTTTCAATACAATCATTGCACATAAATATAGCAAGAATTATTACAACGATGTTGTATGTTTGAATTCTAGTCGTATGATACTAATTTTAAATGTGCCATCAGAATCTAATTATATTCATGCTAATTAGGTTAAATTATGGGATATTAATCGCATTTTCATAGTTACTCAGATCTATTTCTCATAACATTTTTTACTCTAATTTTATATTTTAGCTTAAGAAGCAAATATCTGTAGATCCTTACACATTGGAAAATTTAAATTTAACTTAAGAGAACTACAATTATATCCTGCGTTACCTACAGGATCCACTTGAGTGCATGATGAGCGATTTTTGACGTATGATATATGAGGAAGAAGCGACAACAATATTAATGCTATCTTAAATGGTTGACAATAACAGAGCAAAGTGTGCCCAGTATTGGTCTGAAGAAAGAAGCAATTGGAAAAAGTATGCGATTTGTTAATATAAAGATTTGTTAATATAAATAATATAAAGGTTTCAAAAGTTTCCCACAATTTTATCATGTGGTGGAATAGGATGATGACCAAAGAGAATATTACTAGGATGTGGAATAGTAATTGGAAAAGATTAGACGAAAACTTTTTACTCTTTCATTTAAAGTCGAAAATCTGCGAGCATTAAAAAAATTTTTGCATATATTTAACAGGTAATTATCTAAGTTCATCTCATAGAACTAATTCAAATAATTGGCTGGTTATGATGAACCACAATATGGCATAAGCATATTACAAATGCTGAAGCTTATTCAATCTGTTTGTCGAATAACTATAATTTTTAGGATAAATATCCTGATCTGTTATAGTTTTTTCCTAAAATTCTCACAAAATTATATCAATATAACTAAAGAGTATATAAATTAACAGGATGGAGCATATGTGACACATTGTTCCGAAGGAACAGGAACTGTAATTTCTATAGAAACGTGTTTGTAGCGTCTCTAGAAAGGTCGTTACCGTTTGAACGTATCTTGTCACTTTAATGTTATCAAGTTGGTCAGATTGTTCAATTCAGCGAGTGTAATGCAATGATACAATAAAATACAAATTTCTTCCCGCGATTTACTCAAATAAGTAGGTCAAATTATCGCTAATGATTTGGACGTTTCTTTATTACCTTAACTTTGACATTATGAAATTCAGTTATAGCTCAAAGATCATTCTTAATTTCCCGAAATGTTAGAAGAACTAAGAGAATCTCGTCCCTATAGCATTCAAACAGAAGGTCAATATATCGTCGTTATATATTACTATTCTCTATTATATCAGTGTACGTCATAAATTTCCAATTTTTCATTTTTTATTAAAAAAGTCGGTGGATATTTGCGTTCAATAAACATCATGCATTTAGTTCATCTTGTTTTAACAATAAGGGGAAATTCACTTGAAGAAATCTCTTAGCTGAAAAGAATTTGACTGGAATGGATCTCAGCATAGGTTATTTTTTGATAGGGCCAAATTGCCAAAACATCATGAAGCAGTACTTCTCTAATTTCGTGGTGCTTTTAAAGCATTCAATTTTTTGTGAACAATTTCATTTTTCCTCTTTCGAAATTAATATGCACAAAAATAAATGTGACCATCGATCATAATTGAGCCAATAAACCAATTTTAATTTTGTGCATTTCAATATTTCATTTTAAAAAATCGAACACACAGAAATTAGAATGAGAATTCTAACTGAAAAACGTGTGATTTTAAAAAAAAAGGAAAAGATGAAAATGAAATAGATATGATTTTAAGATATAAATTCTAGTGAAATGATGAGGTTAAAATTAACAAGGATTCAATTGGATGAGTTTCCTAATCGAAACTTCTTGAATCAGCCGTGTTAAGAATGTATCAATATCAGAAGAAATTAATGAAAATTTGTTTATGTTAGGAAGAATGAATCACATAGAGGATGATAATGTGAAAAGTGCTTACAATATTTATTGTTTTCCCCTTGCTTTCATTGTCATTAATGCGCTTGCTTTTATTTCTTTGATGCGATCTTTCGCATCCTAAACACAAAGTAATGTTGAAAAATAAATTACAAAATCATTTTTGATTTTAAAAGTTTTGAAAAATCTTCGCTATTAGCATTGAATGATTAGTCTAAGTTAAACTTTCGTAGTTTTCACTTCAACTATGAATTAAATGAAAATCATTGAGACATTAAATCGATATAATACAAACAAACCTCATAAGTGCTCCAACCCCCCAATGATGCAATACGAAAAGCGAGCGCAAAAAGGACAAAAAATGAGATTGGATCGGAAAATGCGCCTGGACGAATGCGTACCAAATGTTTCGCCAAATATTCCACATCAAAACATTCACGACGTTCAATTTGCTTCATTAATATGGTTGCTACCCAAACAACACATGTCCTGAGAATATATTTTACTGAGGAAAGAAAAAGAGTGAATGCAATAAAATCAATTTGAATGTAAATGTGTAAACAATAAAGAGTAGAATAAGGAAGAAAATTGGATAATTCTGTATGTGATCAAATTATTCATAACCTTATAAAATTGTACATATTTTTATCTTTTTCATCTTTCTCTTCTGAAGCCATCAACAGAGATAGGATATTTTTATTTGAATCAAATGAATGCTATGAATAATATTAATAGTACCTGTTTAAGCCAGCAAAACCTTGAAGTACGACTGGTGGAATATAATCATCCGCTGCTCGTTTAATAATTTGTACTTCCTTACTTGCGAGTGTTTTAATGAATGGTCCTAATTGATCCAAATCTGGCCAGATACCATTTGACCAATTAGTTATGTGAAATAATGTTACCTAAATTAAAATGGTCCATATATACTTATTTACTTTATAGAATGCTACAAAATAAACAACATAATTCATACAATGTTGCAATGGTATCAAGATTATATACTAATATCTTGATAAATCTAGAATTACGAATAACGAGGAATCCAAATAAGTTCATTTTGAACCGCTTTAATTATGTCTTATTTTATTAGACTTCTGAATGTAATATTCTTGCTTCAATTAAATAGCCAGTTTATGGCTGTTTCTTGCACATGTACAATCAAAGAATTTAATGTTTGAATTTGGGATGAATGAAATATTTGAAAAAAATAAATTGAAAAAGACTGACATGTCGTGGTTTGCTATCATCATCACTGGTAGCAGTTTCTACTGAGCCATCTGTTTTTGGAGCTACTTTTCCAGCGTTAACATCAGCATCCAAATGCGCTGAGAGTGCAAGGTCATACATTATAAAACCTTTTTCATCTTTCTTTTTAATTAATTTTATTGTGAATCGCTTTTGCTGTAAATAAATAATTCATAAATGGAAGGAAAATATAATTTTCATTCACATTAGTGAAATATGCAAGATTTTGAAATGGAAAATTTAATTGAAATTGGAATTGAAATAAATTAGAAATGCAAGATTAATTGAAAGCTTCTACTAAAATTTTTTCATTTGAAGTTTTTTATTCTTATCAATCTTTCTTCTTTCTCTTCATTTTTTTTATCATAGAGAATCTTATAACTACTGCAAATTTTACTGCAAAAATATTAAAATACTACAAATACTGCAAATTTACTACAAAAATGCTGCAAATTTTGAATTTATCGAATAGGAATTATAAGCAAATATGTTAATTTTCTTAACGAAGACTTTATCATCAACTTACACCGATTTCCATTTTTGTATCAGGTTTTATTGGCCAATACTGATAACACTTTCCTTCTGTGTCATCTTCTACTGTCATCTGAGACTGCTCCATAACACAAACGATCAATTTACAACCATCCTTTATAGTTAATTTTAAAATACCTCAGTGATTAATGATAAAAAATGTGAAATGATTATTTGCCCTAACAGAAAGCTTGAAATAAAAAATCATCCGTATAAACATGCGACCACTGGAAAGGCTAACTTTTTTCACTAAAAACATTACGCTGATATCAGTGTCATCACATATCAGAGATAATTCAAATTAGATCAAAAACAATTTCCTACGACACAATCAGCTCAGATAATCCGTAATCTGCGCTTAATCTTTTTAGCCATGAAATATGTAATAAATAATAAAGCTGCCGGTAAACCTGCCAAATCATTCGCCAGAAATCAGTTACTGTTTCTTTAGTTGGCGCTTGGATAATAATGTAATCTTCACGATTAAAACTGGCGTATGTTGCAGGCAAATAATCACTCTCTTCTGTTGTTGTTGAGCTCAACCTTACACGTTTTTTCTCAAATAACGGAACCGGAATACGATTTTTTTTCTGCAAAAAACGAGTAAATCAATTTGAAGTGGTTATTTTGCAAAACGATTTTTTAATGAAATGGACAATGTCGTATGGTAGCGATGAATATGCAGCTATTTAACACTGTGAAAAAGGAAGAGAAATTAAAAAGTGATTTAAAGAGTTTTAAAGTGGTAAAAAGTAAATAATTCAAATTGCTCTTCTAAATCAATGGAACCTATATACACAACTTATATTTATCAATTTTATCAGAAATTTCTTTTTCAGAGCACTTGTTTCAGAGCATGGATCATTAAACATTATTTGTTATTTAAGATTTTATCACCGAAATTAAAGTCTGTTTTTCAATTGAAATTTATTTTAAGGAAGGAAAGAGAGTGGGAAACATACAACTTGTGCAAGAAATGTTGCTGTATTTGAACTATTAATTGCGGTTGTTGTAATGAGACGATCAAAATGCATGCGGCGGGTTTTCGGTAAACTTTGCTTAGCAATTAAAGCTACGAAATCAGCTGGCTTCTCGCCAGCTTCTGTAGAATTATCCTATAAAATGAATTTTAAATCATAGAATTTCAGGCTATTGATTAAAAAAAAAAATACATACTGTCATAAAAACCCAAATGGTTTCAGACTATTAAATAATCCTCATGTCGGGCCTAAAAAAATGCAATATAAAAGTTTCCCTCATAGTATAGAAATAAAACATCCGTCGATTTAATTAGTACTTCAACTATTGAATAACTAAGTCTTTAGCCATTCCCATTATTTATTTAAATGAAATTTTCATCTGGCATTCTATCAAAGTACATCACCCATCTGGCATTCTATCAAAGTACATCATCCAAAGTACATAAAATAGTTACGATACACATTTCCATTAATCATTCCGTTGTTATTCAAACCTTTTGCAAAGCGCTTTTCTTTTGCCCAGCGCGTAGTCGACTAGCCATTATCCAGTAAACAAGGATAAGTGTATCTATAATTATCTTCTCAAATTTAAATCATTCTTTTTTTTCCGTGTTTGAATAGATTATTTGCATAATAAATTTGTTAGGAATTACAAATTAGCTAGGTTATTTTTTTGCATTATACCGTTGATTGTGATCCAACATTTTAAAATTAATTGAAGCATATCAATGTATACAAATACTTATACTGTGAACAATGAGAGATCATCATTAAGAACTTACAGCGATGAAGTTTTACTATATTTACTCTGCAGATGTCACATTCGGCGATAAAAGATAAATGCATGAAAGTGATGAATAAAGTGGGCCGTGTTGGAACTGATGATGAAGCGATACAACACGGAAAAAATTTCTATAAGTTGTAAGTTGCATAATTAATTTTTGTTCCAAAAATTTAATTTGAACATTGAATAATAAATATTACTTATAGATTTGAAGGTAATGTTTAATTCTCTGTTAAAAAATTACAATCCTCTGATAACTTATCACAAATTTCAAACATTGTTGTAAGTAGATAGTAGATAGCTATTTAAAAAATTTTCATATTCGTTTTTAATAATTTATTAATTTTGAAGTAACTTTTTGGGCTTTAATAACTATAACAATTATTTGCAGTATGTTCGATCGTCATCCCAATTTACGCGTGTATTTTAAAGGCGCTGAAAATTTCACTTCGACGGACGTACAAAATAGTGATCGCTTTGCCAAACAAGGGATTAAACATTTTCTATTAATTTTATATAAAACTATGAAATTAATTTATATGTTAGATTTTGATGAAAATTTGAATCAAACTGAAGAGAAAAAAATTTTAGAATTCTGAATTTGCAGGACAGAAACTTTTACTTGCTGTTAGAATAATTATTAACACGTATGACGATCCGGAAACATTCAAAGCATACGCTCGTGAAACAGTCAACCGTCATGCCAGATTCAAGTTGGATCGTACATTATGGCTTGTAAATTCAAATTTTTATTTTTGACAATTTATCATTTCGAACATTTTGTAATAAACTGAAATTACAGATTAATTTGTAATTTTTAAAATATTTGGATGGTTCAAACTGAAAATTAGAGTTTTTTACATTGCGATAAAAAGTTAGAAATCCAGCCAATGAACAAATTTAGTTTTTATTAAACAAATTATATTAACCGGTAGTATCATCAAACATATCAATGCTTTAAATTTTTTTTAATTTAAATTTAAAATTAATTATATTCCTGAATTTTTAGGCGTTCTTCACAGTGTTGGTGAATAGCCTGAAGGAATATACTACAATCGATGAAGAAACTGAAAAAAGTTTTTTACAAGTTGGTAAAGAATTTTCCGATGAATGTCTTAGAGAGACCATTGCATTGAATTTGCCTAACTGATTAATTTTAATCCAATTTACATTTTCCATAAATCATTATAGAATGTAAGCATTATAATTCATTTTTCTACAATAAAATGCTCCCATATATAATATCGACGTATTTGTTAAGAATAATAGGAAATAAATAATAGAAACAATAAAAGATCAATCTGTCAGTAAACTGTTTTGCCACAATTTTCGCTTCTGTTAATAATTAATGAAACAATTTTCATCTTTACTTTTTTTTGAAAAAGATTGTTGCTGAAGTAATTATTGAAGAGATCGATAAAGACATTATCCATTCAGGTGTTCTTTATCAGTGAACAAAAAAACTAATACACACTACATAACATTTTTCTGTGTACATCACAAACAGATTAAAGATTATGTTGCCGTAGCATATCCAAATATAGCTTCTTTTGTTTTTTCAAACTCTCTTTGAGACTTTCCGGAATATGATTGACATCCGGTAGCACATCATAATCACCCTCTGAATAATCATCTAATTGCTGTTCTTCTAACTATAAACATACCCATTAATGGATTTCTTTTTGGATGAATACTTCAAGCATAGCAAAAATCGATTTGGCATTGATTATCATTAGTTTTGAATATAAAATGATACGCGGAGATGAAGTTTGAATGAATTGAAAAATATTGGATTGGGAAAACTCTCTAAAAATTATTTCTAGAACTGCCAAGAAAGACAATATAAGCGTAATCAATTAAATTTGTTTGAATCACTTCTTCTATAATAAATCACAATGACATTGCAAGAAAAAAAATCAAATTGTTTTGTGGGTTAAAGGTTAATTAGTTTCAAAATTTCAATTAATTTTCAAATCAAATTTGTTATATTTATGCTTTTTTTTTTCATTTTATTTATTTTGCAGATTTCGTTTTTTTTCTTACCACAAATATCGTAAATAAATATATCTTTATGCTTTTAAAACTCAAAAAAGAAAAGTAGCAAAAAGAATTAACAGAATGTGAATGTTAGGATAAAGTACTGGCAGAAGAGTTTGTAGAGAAATAAAATAATTAATGGGAAATAAAAGCCACCTTCTTAATTTCATCTGGATTTGGTGGTCTTCCTATAATGACCACACTGATGAAAAACAATAAAATGGAAAGGGACAACATTTTTGTTATCGTCCATAACCTGCAAACAAGTATTTCTACTCTTTAGCAATAAAATTTAAAAAAAATTGAACTATAAATTGAGTTAAACAAAATTTAAAATTTTAAGTCAAAATTTTTGATAAAAAATTTATTTGCTAATTTGGCATGCAATTCTACAAAAAGGAAGAAACGATAATTAATTGAAAACGGTACAAAATGATTTGCTGAAAAAAGTAGAAATGAGAAATTACGTGAAAAGTTATGCATTCATTACATTTTAACCTTATTAGATTCGAAGAGTTAAAATAGACCGGTTTTGGGCTCGCAATAGATTTCAATACTTCTGGATAATAATTTATATAAAATCCCAACTTAAAATTTAATAATTTAAAAAATACTTTAAGAAAATTTTAATAAAATCTGACGAATTTCGCCCGCTGTTATAAAATATCAAACGATGGATTTCAATATCATGGCCAAATTTAGGAAGAAATGTTTTATTTAATATTTCATAATAACGGTCATGATTTATTAAATTTTATTAAAACTTTCTTAAAATATTTTTAAAATTATTAAAATTTGAATTGGAATTTTATATAAATTGTTATTCAATAAGTACCGGAATATTTTGTGAACCCAAAACTGATCTACTACAACTCTCTAAATCTAACGAACTTAACACAGTTAAAGTGTCCTCTGCTTTCAGCCCGTTTAAATAAAATTATCAATTATTTTGTGAATTTCAAAAAATCAAATAGATACATTTTTTTGCTCACTGCTCTTCACATAAACCGCCGATCTTCTAATTACTTAGTTTCAATCATCATTTGTATCATTTAGACACAGTGCTGATAATATATAACTGATTGGTGAAATTTAAATTTCAGCTTCACTCTATTGATGAAATTTGAAAAGATTGCCTGAAAAATAAATATTGTTGCTGCAATTGCTGTTGCTGCTGTAATATTGTTAAGAAAATGATGGCAAAAGTGTTGAAAACGGCAAATCGTATAGATCGGGTGGAACCAACGAAGGCGTTGTTATCTTCTCACCTTCAATTGGTAAACAAAATCTTTACTCCGACAATCAGCAACTGCACTGATTAGAAAATAACAAACCAGTTCGATCATCAATTCTTTTATTCTGATAATCAACACCTTTTGTTGTTTATTATTCGCTTTTTTAAAATATTTATTTTCTTCAACAATACGATAGTAATGCAATTACTCGATTAACATATTAACTGTATGATTTACTTAGTCAAAGTTTTCCTATTATCAGAATTAGAATTTCAACTGCGCTCATTGGTATTACTATCGCCTGGACATGGACGTGATCCGGGATAAACTTATGTGACGCATATAATGGAAGACAGATAAAAATGAATGGTAGTGAAAGTGATTAAAATCGATTATAATATTGCAATCTATTTCGACCAAAAAATTTGCCAAAGACTTTTTTTTGCGAAAATCAACCTTTAAGATTTGCTAATTAAGATTTCTAAACTTACTTCAAATTTAAGTCGAAGAAGTGTAGTAGTTTAATGAATCATTTCTTTATACAGAAACTGCTTTACATCTTTTCTAATTTTGATAGCTATTTGACGCTTTGAAAACAGGCAATTGCGCCGATCTATAGCAGATAAGAGATTGAAAAAAAGAAAAGTTTTTTAGTGTTCTTTGATCATCGTCTGATAAAATTTCATGAAGCACTTGAACTTCAATCAGTCAAATTCTTTTTAGAATCCTTACAGGGACAATTCTATGAATTTATGCTTTAAATCATTTTATTGAATTTTTCAATTTGAAATGCACAAAAAAATAATAATTTCATAAAATTATCGATAATTTACTAAAACATATCCTTTTAATATATAACTATTTTCATTTTTAATTCAAAATATGTTAGTCATATTTACTACTACGAATTTGTTTTGAATTAAATTTTTCATACTGTAAAATAATAAGGAAATATAAGTTTCCACTTATATGTAAAAATATTTATGCTTTTGATTTTTAATGATTTGTTGAGAAAGGAAAAATTTGAAAAATAGCAAATTGAAAAATTTTAAAAGCCAGGAAGAATATGTAACAAACAAAATTAAACATTTAAGATATTATACGGTAAATTTAATACTTTCTGCTGAATTTTACAGGGTAGCACAATAAAGTAATGTGAACAAATTTCGGAAAGTATGATGCCCATGAAACATGATGACATAGTGGCATCATGATGTGGAACATGTATGTACATGCAGCCAATCTGATAACACAAGTCAACATTTACTCCATCGATGCTTTTCTTTAAAACATCAATTTTTTACATCACTTCGATGGAAATTTACCACTTCTGTCAACAACGCTAACATTAGATTAAAGTAATGAATGTCTATAAATAAGGCATTCATTCAGGTAGGATAGAAACAAAAGGCACAAAGTATGCAAAGAAAAGTTAAGTTTTGCAAAAAATTTTGTTATAACTAAAATCAACAGAATTAGGGACAGTTTAATGTAATTTGTAATGATTCATTGGAAGGGAATTGAAAACTGAGTTGTAAATTAAAATAAAAAATAAATGAAAAATTGAAAATTAATAAATAATAAAAAATTGAGAGTTAAATGAAGAAATGATCATTTCATCGCAATTCGGCCCTTCTTTTGCATTTCAATTTTAAATAAAAAAGGATAAGAAATAAAGAGGTTAAAAAAAGTTACCCTTTCTATAGGAAATGAAGAACTGCTTTATTTTCAATTTCACATTAAAATCTTTTTGATTATAAATTATATTCATTGTCTCAAATTTGTTCATTTCAATCATTGCTTAATAAACAAATAGGATAACTGTAATGTGATACGTAAATGAATTAATTAACATTAATAATATAAAAATATTGTTCGCTATGCTCTTAATGTGTTATGTGCAAATGTGTTCAATGAATATTTAGAAAAAAATTTTATTTTAAAATGCTGAACTCCGTAATTTCATTCAATTATTTTGTTGCTGCCTAGTTGATAAGCGGTTCGATCGGAAATAGCCACACTAAAAGCAATTTTAATGTTTTACAAAAAGCACGGTTATATCCTATGCTGCGCTCTATGATAGGAATACTTTACTCTTAGAATTGAATTTTCATTAAATCGAAACAACAGATAAATTTTGAAATTTGATGTAATAGAAAGAACCACAATCGACTTGAATAGCTTGAATAACTTTGAACTTGAATGACGCTGTACTTGAATAACTAATTAATACTAGCTGATCAATAATCATTAAGAATAATTTAGGATTGGAATTTGCTGAATGGTATCATGGATTGCTGTCACGTAAAGATATAAATATTCTGCTTTCCAAACACGGTCAATTTTTGGTTCGTGAAACAGAAATCAAAAAAGGAGAAGTGTGATCTTTGATATTTTTCATATATATATATATATGAATTTCCAATATCCAGTTCTGATATATCTAGCAATCATTCTTTACGTTTAATTGCTGTTTGAATGTAAACAACCTTAGCATACTACAATAGCTTTACAGTCAATATTTTTTGGAAGAAAAAAACCGGAGAGTTGAAAGTAAATGTAAAAACGACAAAAATTGTAGAAAACAAAACGACAAATTTTAAAATTTCTGTTAGAAAAAAACAGTCTTTACAACCGATCATAGTAAAGTGAAATTAAGGGATAGATGCAAAAATTTTTTGCATAAAATTAATAAATTCAGAGACGTCAACTTGTGCTATCGGTAAAATGGAATGATAGGGTAATACATTTCATTATCCGTCAAGCTGGTGGAAAAGTTTTTATTGAAAAACGCCAATTTCCTTCTATCTATGAACTGATAAGGTAAATATCGTTCTGTGATAGAAGTATTTACTTTAAAAAAATGAAAAATTATTTATTTCTATTTGTTTAGCGCAAATGTCTGTTTAAATTTCGGATTAAATTTAAAATATTTAAATATTAAAAAAATTAATTCGGAGACTTAGAAAAATTCGAGTTTACCTGTTTCAATATAGATTTCATTTGATTACCAAAGATCCAATAACCAATCAAAGCGGTGCTGTACTTTTACATGCCGTTCCACGACAGAGTTGGGAAGTTAGACATGAACAGGTAAGTATTCAACTCAGCAAATTCGCTCATTCCATCCACAAAGTAGCCTTTGGCTTGGATGAGCAATTTTATCTGAATTATATGTTTTGAATTCAAAACTATTAGTGAAAACTTCAATAGAAGAATTATTTCAGATAGAATTTGATGGATTATTGGGAGAGGGCGCAATATCCGCCGTTTATAGAGGTATATTTAAGAGTGATGGAAAGGAAAAAGAGGTAATAAAATATTCTAATTTATTCGAAAATATGCACTTCAGAAAAAAATTCACTTAAAGAGTTTTGCTGAAGTTTCCTAAATTGGAAGAAAGAAAGAAATCGATCATGCGAGTAATGACTAAATGAAAATGAGGCATCAAAATTTATTCATTTGCTAGACAACATTTATGAATAGTAACTTATTACAAGTAAAAAATTTTGATTCAAAAACCAAAATTAAATTAATAAAAGCAAAGAAAAAGATTTTCCTTAAGGTTGCGGTTAAAGTACGCAAAGGGAATAGTTCAGATCGGGAAACCGTGGAACAAATTTGCCGGGAAGCGCGTATAATGCGTAAATTGGAACATCCAAATGTTGTTCGTCTTTATGGTATTGCAATCAGTAAGGTATTATTGGACGATCATCAAATGTCAAGCATAATACTAAAGTAACAAAAGAATCAATAAATGATAATTGAAAAAAATAAGCTTACAACAGAATTTATTTTTTCAAAAAATTAAATTACGACGACTTTATAAATTTAGGTGAAGTTTTATTTCAAACCCTAATTCTAGAAAAATCTCCATTCAATCAAAAAGTTAACTTTAATAATGGAATTGTTAAAGGAACCAATAATTCTATTAATGGAATTGTTAAAAGATGGAAGTTTGGATGTTTTCCTGGTAACAAAAGGTTCAACGTTAGGCATACGAGAAAAATTATATTTTTGTCTGGATATTGCATCGGGATTAGAATTCCTTCATAATAATGGAATCATTCATCGAGACATATCAGCAAGGTTTCAAGAATACGATCAATATTTATATTAATAGTTACTATCATCATTTGTAAATAAATAGATCAAAAAATTTTTAGAAATCATTTAGTAAATTCGAGATTTGCAAATTAAAAGACGATTTTCTGGTTTTTTAGTCTTTGATAATAATTGTCAAATGAAAGAATTTTGTGGCCTTCAATTATAAAGGAAGAATTTTACCAAGATACATTTCAAAGCTTAAAAGTAATTTTAAGAAATTGCCTGGTGGAAGATATGCGTGCCAAAATTTCCGATTTTAACCTATCACGAGAAATTAAGAAACATGATGAAAAGTACAGGATGACGCGGTTGAAACAGAATTTACCCATAAGGTTTAATATAAAAGTTGTGTGCTATTGTTATTGGAAACTGTGCAGACTTGTAACATATCATTTATTATTTATCACCCTCTATTATATAAGGGTTAGGTCATAATGATCGAAATATTTCGAAAATTAAAAACCACAGGAAGATTTTTCTTGAAACTGTTAGGTATGCTAAACGTTTAAAACATGTCACATTTCACTTCTCAACATCAATTTCTCTCATTTGATTAGTATTTCTACTAACAATTTGTTTTTGCTGAAGGATAAAATTACTCACAAATTTCCAATTTAAATTTAGTCTGAATTTGATTTTTCTCTTTATATGGAGAGATCTCATGTTAAGATCTACAAATAAATGTAAAGAGTTAAAAATTTAACCAATAAGTTCATACAGTAGTTCACTTTTATATGAAATACGACCTAACAATTTGTAGCAGTAATATTTTGTTAATTAACTGGTACCACAGCTGAAAGGTCAATTGGAACTATTTGACAGAGCGACGTGTCCTACGCACATTCGCATTATTATTATATCGGTCAATTCTGAACAATACTTTCTCGTTTTCCCACACTTGTTCTTTTTCTCACCATTCAAATAGCTTGAAAACTTTAAAATAAATTGTTACAGTTCAGAGATCGCTTTATTCTCCAAAATAAGATAAATACTCTAAGCAATTAAATTTTGTTTATAAAAATAGTGAATAGAGTTAAGTTGCAGATAACTTCTTCCTTTCAATGTAACAAAAGCATATTCTTTAGAGCTAGAATCACACAACGAATAAACTTAAATATGATTTGAATTATGAACAGAAATAATTTATCACTTAGAGCTACAATAGAACTACGATTTTATCACTTAGAACTACAACCGAACTACAAGAAACGTCAATATAATTTGAATTATGAATAGAAAAAAGTAATTTACCAATTTAATATCGAATAATGTTACGATGCAGATGGCTAGCACCGGAAACGATAAAGAGCGCAATATATACGACAAAATCAGATGTGTTCAGTTATGGGATATTACTGTGGGAAGTGTTTACAAATGGTGCGGAACCGTACTGCGGAATGACGGTAGCTGAAGTTATTGTTAATGTAAGCTTCATTTCAATCATGCGAAAAATGATATTTCAAAAGAAATAAAGGGATTAAAACAATACTGCTTCATCATTTTAAACGTAAATGAAATTAATTATTTGAATAATAGCCATAAGATTTAAGCCTATTTTTTTAAACAAAAAATGTGAAAAATAAGAACTATTCTCGTTGTTGATGAAAAATTTAGGTGAAGGAAGGATACCGAATACCATCGCCCGATACAATGCCTAAACAGTTGCAGGCTTTGCAACGAAATTGCTTCACAACGGAAGCTTCAGAGCGATGGTCGATGGCACAAATTCGAGGGGATATAGAAATGATTTGTTTACAATTCCAGGATTAAACCTTTAATTATACAATTTTAGTCCAAATTTAAGCGTAATGGAGCATCATTTGCCCTCAAAATAAAATCTTCCACCATTTTCAGTCCCATTCATTTGATTCCACCTATGTGAATTCAGCAGTGCTGTCGATTGTAATTTAATGGGTGATGGTGCAATTTGGAGTTGCATTTTTGCATCAAAAAGTAGGAAATTCAAGAATCATCTCAACTAAGAATAATCTTTAACCTTTCACCCGTAAAATAATATCAAGGCAGGTCACGGACGTCCAGATGATTCGGCAGGCAACATCTACTGGTTAGGATATTAGCGTTGCATTATGGGCCCGTCGAAGAGAAACATGCGAATAAATCATCGCATAATGCGGATTGCATTATAGTCATTGCTTCACTGCATCTCGATCGCTCCTGCTGGCATTAGTCTCATTAACTCCCGTTGCAAGCGTGTAATTTATAAGTTGCACCACAGCACAAGCTTTTTCCATCTGTCCCATCTTTCATGTTATACTACAACCAAGCAGTTGTATTATCTCATTTTCATTGTTATACATATCTTTTCTCTTATTTTCATGCTGTTTTGTATGGATTAACTAGAAAAGCGCAATTGTGTTAATGCTTATATAAGTCCATTGCATACAAACTGTTATCTCGTTACAGTACTTTGATTGATCGAAAGCAATATGTGAAGGAGAAGATAAAAATAAAACTATATGAAAAGAACAGATTCACTAGCGGCATCTTCTTTCAGACTTACATTCCATTCCTTCAAATTTGCACTCTTTGTTGTTTCATCGCTTCGATCTTATGCTGCCCGTATCATTTTATTTGCCATTAAAACAGAACTGCACCATATAGTTGATAATTAATAGTTTTTTCTCGTTTGCGCTTTTTTAAATTTAGGATATTCCCGGGCAAAAACATAACGATGATTAATAGCTGGATGCGTTTCGTAGTATATTCCAGCGATTTTCGTCCGTAGAGACGAATAACTTTTATATAAGGTGCTGGATCACTTTATTTTTTCTTTATTACTGCATTTGGATAATTGTCCAGAAAATTTTCAGTATAGTCAGAAAAAGTTTTTAGTATAGTCATTTTTGTTGGATTGGTCTGTTCGTTTTACGCAAAATAATTTGTTGAGCAATCTCTTATTATTGGTTTCAATGCAAAAAGCTTGTATAGAGTGCTTATTGATGGAAATGAAATCAGGAAAAAACTTGTAATCATCATATTGATATAAGTGCATTATAAATCTCTAGTTTTTTTTCTTATTCATTTATAAAATAGTATTTAGTTTTCTTGAAGGTGTGCATGAAATTCTTGTCAAAATGACGCAATTTTTCTCACTGTTTTTAGTATACTCTTAGTACCAAAATTGAGTAAACAACAAGAATGTATGTCCGGAGATATAGAAGTGTGAACATAGCATGCGAATTCGGCCATTTCATAATTTTCTTTCAGTTTAGATTTGTATTTCTCTCTTTAAGTAATTTAAGCGATAAGAGGAAATCACCAGGAAATTATGCAGGAAAAGGAAAATGTGTGACTTTTCAAAGAAATGGGAACGCAAAATTGGTTCCATAAATACGCTACTTTAAAGAATTTTAGCAATAGCAGTTTGATACAATATTGCAACGTATACAGATTAGAACTTTAAAAAATTTGTTTTAAATTTATACTATTTAATCCTTCAAATCTTTTCTACGGTCACATAAACATTTCTTCTTATGGATTCGAATGACAAGATATTTGATCATAAGAAAGTTCTCTCATGATCAACAATTCCTTGTCTAGTTTATGCAGAGAAGGTTAATTGCCTTTATATCTACAAATATTTGACTTTAAATGTTCTTCAGTTGCTTGAGCTCAGAGTTGCAAATGCAATCAACCGCGTCCTCTGTTCAAGTTTGGGTTATGACAAGATAGGGTAAATGAAACGGCATTGTTTGCGTATAATAGTTTAGTTTTGCTAGTTATTCTTATAAATTTCAGTAAAATCATAAAATTATCGAAGTTAAGATATATTTTATGTTACCATCGTTTTATGGATCTAACCTTTCTTTTTAAATCATTTCATTCGTTATTTTTATAATATTTGCCACAAATCTTTTTCTCTTTATAAACAGTGGATATAAAGGGCGAAAAAATCTCGCAATTTTTCTATAAAATATTAAACGGCTGGATAGAACAGAAAAAATTATTTCGTTTTTACTACGCACTTATTCATACTTATGTTGAAATTTACACGTTTTTCTATTGCTCTTGTCTGGTTTTAAGTATCCCTCAAATAAAGCATATTGCTGTTTTGTATTTTGTCAGAAAACTTTCAAACATAATTAATATTTCACTTCGTTCTTTAAATATTTGTGATTTTTAAAAAATTTTCCCAAATTTTCGTATTTAAACAAAAGATATTACCAAAAGTTTTCGTTAATATTAATTTTTCCAAGGCGTAAATTTTGATTTTTCGATTCAGAATTCAATATATTTAATGTTCAGAATGTTATAAAATTTGAATATTCCAGGTGCTTTTGCTTATGAAAAATAAAAAAGTCAGTACACTTAATGAGATTGGTATTCACTTCCTGGGAGTCTGGATGTGAAGAAGTTTGTGCGAAAGGATGGAAAATACTCGCTGACTCAATAATTTCAACTTCAAGGGACGTTGTAATTTATCACGGTGACATTCTTGCTTTAGAGGATGGAACTGTAGTACGTTTTGTTTTTTTGTCTTCATAAATGATCTGTTCATTTAATTGTTGCGTTATTCTAAAAATGTTTTTGTGATAGAGAAAGCCGGAATAGATGTTTAAAAAAAATAGGGAAGTAATTCCTTGTTATTATCTTATTAGCTTTTCATCATGAAACTTTCCTTCTAGTACATGTACACCGCATCTGGCACCAAGAAGCCATATCTGACCGGAGCTTTGTTTTCTTCATCTCGTTTTATCTCATTCCATGCTGCCTATGAAAAATTATTTTTGGTAAGTGAAGAAGGTCGTCTTTTCGGTTGTGGGCATACTACTTATGGTGAATGTGGCATTATTTCTTCAAATCCCATTGATTCGTTGCGTGAAATTGAACTGGTCACACCACTGGCTGTTTGCCCTCACGGATCTTTGGTTACAACTGCAGAGTAAGAAATTCTTCAGTTTTTTGAAAATCGCTTTGGTTAAAGATAGTGAAAATATTATGTGTAACAATGAGATTTCAAATAGTTGTATAATCATAAATTTGCAACTGTTTTTATTTTTATTTATTTTTCACACGCCTCATTTTTACAAACGCAAAATAATCTTTTCTCTGATAAAAGGAGGAAATCTTTCCATCAATTTTTTTAAAAAAGGCCAGAAAATTATGCTATTGAACTTGATTTTCTCACAAAGTAGAATTTTCGTTTTATCTGTTATTTTTATTCCTAGTTTCAGTTTAGGTCACTGAAGGTGAGGCTTGTTCAAACATCCTCATCTGAAGTTTGCGTTACTGATTTCCATGATCAATTATGGAAATATGGTGGTGGAAGATTAGAATTCGATTCGCTAGGGCGCGTTCAAGTGCAATCTTTACAACTTTCATCGAGATGCAAAGTTTTGCAACTATGTGCCGGAAGGTTTGAACAGTTTTCAAGCACGTTGTTATAATTTTTTTATTTTATTCACTATTTTCATGAAATTTTTTTAGGGAACACTTTGTCTGCTTGGCTGTTCCTTTAATTAATGAAAAAAATTCTATCGATGTTGAAAATTTGCCAACTTCGGGGATACGAAGATCAAACAAATGTGAAAAATGTCGAGAAGAATGTGGGCTACAGCTGAGTACATTAATGTATATGGCTGACCAGGTTCTGGCTTTCTTTTTATTTGTTTCTGAGCTCGAGCGCTAAAGCTAAATTTTCAGTTTTTCTTGACAGATTTGAAAATTTTTGTATTCTTCAAAGAGTATTGCTTTCTCTAAATGTGCGTCTCACTATATCAGCATAGTTCAATAAATGACTCCTTCCGTAAGTATGGAACATTCAATTTTGTTGAAGCTCATGTCGAAATGTTCGTTTTAAATAGAATTTTTCAAACTCCCAACATTGAAAAAATGACTCCTTTTAGAAAAATGGATCACAAGTTTCATTTGGAAGCTGTGAAAAAGGATTGGCTGAAAGAGGAGTAAAAGGAAGCTTTGCAATTCGTAATCCATGCTCACTTCTGGATGCAGAAAACAGGTAGTTACTTTTTTAGATTTTAGTGAATTTAAAGAGAAGTGATTATGTTTAATGCCAATGGTTCCTTTTTATTCTTCTAATTGACACCTATGCATTCAGTGCAAGAGAGCACCAAACACTTCAATTCTGTAGTTCTTCACGTACCATCAAAGCTGCTATTGTAAAACCGTGGAAAGAAACTTTACTTAATGAATTTGAAATGATGGAAATGAGAAATGTTAACGTCTGGAATGGACTTGGGAAAAATTCAACATTTGTTTCAATGGGAAATCTACCTGATATGTATTATATGCAAAATACAAGTAAGAGTTTTGTATAAGCATGTAAGTAATGAAAATTATCATATCATTCAAGATGTATTTCACTTTGTTTTTATCCGAATCGAAATTTTTTCGGTTTTGGATAGCTTACAAAGTTTTTATTCTCAAGATTACATGCTTTAAAATATGCATGTTTTTCACTTTTTAAAGTGATGGAAATAGTTCAAATTGTCCTGCGTTATAACTGTAAAAATAATTCCTAAAAACTTTTTCGAAGAGCCAATTCTTCAGCTTTAATTTCGATAATGAATTAGTTTATTTTTTCTTTTACTTTTGCATTTGTCATCAAAATGGTTTCATCTGTTGAGAAATTTGTATGTCTTAAGATGCAGAAGACTCATCATCGGGTTGTACTGTTCACAATCGGAAGTCTTCAAAATCAGATGGAAGAATTTCACTCACCGACTCACAGGATGATCCTGACCTGTTACCAGAAATTTGGACATGGGGCGCTAATGAAAATGGCCAGCTAGGACATGGTGATTTGGTAGTGAGGTATCAAAATTAAGGGACTTTTTTATAAATTGTTTTGGAAGCATGCCATTCACACTGTTAGCATTTCGGTACCTGAAAGCAATGTTTTTTTGATTTTTGATTTCATTACAGAAGAGTGCCATTTAAAGTAGTCGATTTATCGAGCATGTATTGTATCAAAGTAGCAGCAGGAGACGACCATACCATAGCACTTACAGGATCTGGCAAGGTTGTTATTATTCTTCACATTACCATCAGTATCCCTTATTGACTTTTGATCAAAAACTAATTACCGATGTTTATAGTATTTTCCAAAAGATTTGGTAAGATTAGACACGTTACCGAAAAATTAGATATCATTAATATTTAATTTTTTAAAAATTTATTGAACTTTTTGTTCATCATATTTATTGAATTTTTTCAGTTATATGTCTGGGGATCAAACAGTAATGAACAACTAAAGCAAGCAAACCTGTCACATGTAACGAAGCCAACTCTTTTTAAAGTCATTTTTGTCGGTTTAGCTTTTTGACTAACAAAAACGGGTGTTTTCAATCATTTTATAGGTGGAACGGGTGCATAACAGTTTTTATTTTTATTTTTTATCTTTTTACGTTTTTTATCTTTTTATCTGATTTATAACTTCTAAAGGGAAATTTGTAGTTTTCATTTTTTTGGCTATCGATTATTTTCTTTTCGGTTAATTTTGTAGGTTGGAAGCCATTCTTTCGTTTTGGATGCATTCGCAAGTGGCTGTCAGACAGGTGTTATTGTTGGCGGTGTGGCAAATTCTGCCACACTCTATTTGTGCGGAGGTAGCGCTACGAAGAAATCACCACAGTCGTTATCACTACCAAAAGAGGTTTATTTCTTCTTTTTTAATTTTTATTACCATTTTACTCTACATTTTTATTTCATATATTTAGGGTAGATACGATCTTTAGATTATTATTTCATTTAGATTATTTTTAACGCGAAATTATAGATTTATGTAAATTTATATTATAAATTTCTGTCGCTTGAAATTCTTTATTCTTACTTGTCCAGTTGCAAATTAAACGACAAAATTAGTCTTTTTCTTGAGAATAGAATCAAGCGACGCATGCGCATACCAATTTTCATTGTAGATTGGTTGGCCGAGTTGGGTTTTGATTTCAAATAAGAATCTTGCAGTTGGGGTACACGAATCAACCGATGAAGTCGATGGACATCTTCTACGAATGTTCGTTTTTTTTCGATATGCAGAATTTGTGCAGCGGATCTACCAAATGTGTCAGAAAATGAATGAAAGAAGTAATGGTTCTTCGTAAATCTTGAAATTAAGCTATGAAGTCTGATATGAATTATTTTTCATAAAAATCCATAATGAATTATTCATTTAAGCATATTTTAGCTACTTTAAGTTTTTCAGGTCACATCATAAACAGTTCGCACTTGTCGAAATTATTGAATAAACTGACTTTATCATCGACAGGATATGCGACACATATATTCCAGCAAGTTTTTTAACTGTCGCATATGTATCCATGAAGTTCAAAAGTTTGTGGTTTTCGAGCAGGTCATCAGCGTCGTTCATAATTATTTAATTTATTGTTTATTAAAATTATAGCTAAGCTTCATTTTTATCTAAAACAGCTGATTTAAAAAACCATTGAGTTGTTTCGTAATTTTATGGACTTTGACTGACAATGAGTTAAATATGAGCTATCTTGAATCTTTCAGATTGATGAAAATGATGCGTGACAATCTTTGTGACACAGGCAGTCTACCATTTGAGAAAGCCCTGAGAACTCATGTAAAGAAACACGTCTTGAGTTCTCTTTTCCAATTTCATGCTGATTTTGTAAAGTGCCTTGCTTATGGATGTTTCACTGAGCTCGATATTGGGTATGTCTTTTCAATACATGACGGTGTAACATAATGCAAAAAAGTCATTATTGCAGAGATAAAAATTGTGGCAAATTTGCTTCTTTTATTGTGCACTTCAATTTCATATATTCCAGTTACTTTTTTCTATTTATTTTAATATTTTCTTAACATTTGTTAAGATTTCACTACTTTTATATGTAGGCGTTTTGTTCATTATTTATTTCCTGACTTTTTCATTACCAATTTATAAATTTGCATGTAAGTCATCTAAGCAACTAATATGCATTTCTGGCAACATGAATCATTCCCAATTGCATTTGTTCCGGATGGTGAAAAATCACTTTTATCATGGTAGGGAAGTTGTACATGTCAGCTGCTTATAAAGGAAAGTGTATCCATTTCAACTAGATCAAAAAAGAATTAGGATCGTCATAGTACATAATTATTGATTTTAAAAAGTTTTGAGGATATTTCTTTAAATGGAGATATGGTAAGAATTTTTCATTTGTAGAACATAAGATTTTTTCTATTTTGATAAGATTCGACTTCGTTGTAATTGGGTAGACCTAGATCTAAAATCTTGACATAGAATCTTTCACCATTACTACTCAAAATTTCTACTACTAATTTGTACTATTGAAAGTTATCCGCAAATGAATTCTATTTATCTAAATTTCCTTCTTGTGAAGTTCTGCGTTCTTTTATCAACAAATAAACTTTGGGTTACAAATGCTTTTCTCTATTCTAATACTTCGTGATGAAGAAACAACTGCCAACAGCCTTTCAACTTATATTTGTTTTCATAATATTTAAATCGTTTTGTTAACTTCAACTAATCAGCACTTTTTAGGCTTTTTTGGATAATAATTTTTATTAATCTACGAGGTAAAAATGCAGCTTGAAAAATGAAAATTTTTTGTTGCGAACCTTTACTTCAATGAAGATTGTTAAATTTTTTGCTCATAGATCACCTATTGAGTCAAACTTCGGAAGCATACCGATATTTTAAGTGCATCACCCTTGGAATATTATAGCAGAAATGGATAAGAATTTCTCTATAGTTCCATAAATTTGAATTATTTTGTGTTGAGTTTTTCTACAACTTTCGAAATTCGTTATCAAAATAGTCTTGCTGCTTATAAAATCAACAGCAAAAAAAAATTATACAGAGATGAAGTCTATCGAACTCACTGGGACGTCACTGCCATTAGTATGTATGATTTTCAACGTATTTTTTTTAAATAGAAGGAAGCGATACTTATAATTAACTGGAACTATTTACAACAACAGCCTTCTTTAAAAAGTTGGGATTGAATCGATTTTTAATGAGAAACAATTTGCTTATTATTTTTTATGCTAAAAAGAAAGCTTCCAACTAACTGTAGAAACTATAAAAAAAATTGTGTATACTTATTTTGGAGTTTTTCCTTACTCGCATGTGTAAAAGTTTCTAAGTCAATTTTCCTTGAAAATTTGACTCCTTCCTGAAATCTAATTTTCAAATGCAGTTTTTGGGATATCTGTTGAAGCATCGGTAAATAACAGTTCTATAAACAGTCTTTTCTCATTCGTGTTTTTCTCTCATTTTCCTGAAACTGCTGTACTTTTCATTTATATTACATTAGAAAAAAATTTTTATCTGCAGAATGCTCATACTATGCTAATTTTTTTTGCGGAATTTGACTTTTTTCTGCTGATCATAATTTTATTGGATTATTATTGTCTGTGACCTTTGGTTTTTCTACTTCTCCATTAACTTTTCCACCTTGTGCATGTTAGCTTATGGAAAACTTTCGAATTTCATAATGAAAGACATTTCTTGATATTAGTTGAAAGTCATGTCATTTTAGTGAAAAGCTGGATGAGGAAGTAAAAAAAATGTGCTTGTGCTACGATGTTGGAGAAAACAGTCAGGAGATTTGTTTGCGACAGTTATTTCAACTGAATTTCAATTTTCCATGCAAGCTTGGCGATCTAAGCGGGATTGATAACATCTTAGAGGTAAGAATAGGATTTAATATCAAGGTTATAGCAATGATGCCATTTAGAATGAATAGTATAACAGTACAGTGTATCGTTAATATCCTGTATAAGGTAATTACGTTCATTGCACTAGATAAGAAATATAAACAACATTTCTTATTTCTTGATCCATCAATATCAAAGTGTTTCACAGAAACATGAGTAACACTGCAATATTGATTACGCTGTAGTTATGTACATTTTAGATTTATAATACAAAAACAAAGTCGAAATCTTTTATTTTGTGTCTTCATCATAAGGTATAAATACTGTAGTATTATTCCGAAACGATGAGTTAAAATCAAATTGATTAGATTCTATTTATTTTTAAATTTTCATATAAGTTGAATCGTTCGGTCTGATCTATATTATTCTTAGAAAATCATTTTTTTTTTGCCCTTGGTGACAGTCAAACTGAAGAGGTAAATTTTTTTATCCCTGTATCATGTATGTCTTGTTTCGAACAAAAACAAGTTATGTTCAATGAGTAAATTCTTTACTAATAACAGAAATATACAAAAAACCATTTTTGAATCTGTTTAATAAGAGTCGTTCTTAATTTGACTTCTATGAAATTTTGGAGCAAATATAAAAATTTTAACTTGTGCTTTAATCAAAGAATATAGAAAATAGAGATGATAACGGAAAGAAATACAGTTGATTTAAAATACTGCTGATTGTGAAAGTCGATTTTATTTCTGTGGGGATTCAATGTATAGAACAAAAAGATCATTACTAACAGAGGCAACTCGAAGTGATCGATAAATTACATGATGAAATTTCATATGAGTGTTTTTTTATACTTTCATAATTTCTTTTACTCTTCTGGCTTTCTAATGTTTATTCATCTGATTTTCTTGAAAATCTTCAAAAGATTGATTTCTCTTTTTGAAATTGAATTTCTGAAAAAATATATTGGCAGATTTTTACTCGCCTAAGTTGTTTAAGTTGCTATGCAAATTATTATATACTGAACAAGTTTACAATCAATAATTATACTTATTTATTGAAGCTAATTTATGCTTACTCTTTGCTCATCAATTAAACCAAACAGAATTGATTGTACAAATTTTGATGCACTTTTAACTTTATTTTTTTTAACAGATGTTTAGATGTGTTACCCATACTTGAAAAGCAAATTTCTATTTATAGTTAATAAATAGTGAAGTTTAAAAAAACAAGTAAACTTTAACAATTTTCGGTTTGTTAAATAAATATAAATCTTTCTGTAGTTAATCAATTAGTTTCTAGAAAACCTCGGGGATGATTCATATCACTTATAAATTGTTTGGCGCATTGGTAACAATTAGTACATACCATACCGATTGGATAATCGTTATAATCCACATAACCATTCATCTGAACAAAAATCTGTTCGCATTCTTCATTCAAATTACCTTTTCCTCGTTTATCAATGAACTACCATCTTTGGATATGATCCATGACATGATGTCAAACGACATATCGGTGGTTTGATCTGAAACCTGACTTATTGAGATATTCTACTATTACTGAAGTAGCTCAAGGAAAATTTGTTTAAACAAATTAGTAACTGATTTTTTGTAAGTTCAGTAAATTAGGTTGATGCTATGCTTCTGTGATGATTTTTAGTTTTATTTAAATCAATCTCCCAAACCGATTTACAACTTTATCGTAAAATGCATGCATTATACATTCCCCAAGGTAGTTATGAACATATTCGCAGTTATGTTGAAAATTCGAAGAATGTTTTAGTCAATATCAAAGTGCTTCACAGAAACATGCGTAACACTGCAATATTGATTAGGCTGCGGCTATTCTGTTCACAAGCATCTTGTTACTCGACTCTTTCGCCCTTTTTCATTTAAAATGCAACATTTAAAATGAGCTAATAAAATATATTGGCATGATGTCTTAGTGTTATTTAAAATAAAGCTGTAGAAATTGAAATCAATTTTTTCAACTCATACTGTAGCCATTTCTTATGGATGAAATATCGCCAATATTTATTGAGTTTTGCTACTGAAATGTATGAAAGTGTCAATATGATACCATAAGATTAATCTGGATATGATGATTTTCGAAACTAGGAATTATTATCACTGTCTAAAAATTCGGCCTATTCTGGTGTGGGAGTGCCAGATCAAACCAAGCCTTTTCAAAATGTGCTCCACAGTAACGAACTGGATTGCTGATAGTTCCCAATTTTGATGCATCTTCATCACAGCAATTGAAGCTATCTGGATGTAGCATCGAACTAACCCTTGTCAATAATTTATCATCGTAGATCTTACTGTGATCTAGATCCGTCGGCATCTCTAATTTTTATTCTTCAAACAAAAATCTACTTCTTCGTGGTAATTTTGCAGATGGGATACGCAATTATTGGTGGGTAATCTGACTCTGAAACAGAGTAATGAAATTTTCTTTAATAACTCATATTTTAGTTAATTTGTTTTGATGAGTAGAAGTAATAATTGCTGCTTCAAAATAAATTTAGGCTTTCGAATGGTTTGATTTCAATCTTGAATTTTATAAGTACCTTATTTCCATGCGATAACTTTTAATATTTTAGCCTACTTTATGAGATGTCGCTATAATTCTATCGATCTCTCTATAAGAAAAATTTTTACAGTGAATTATCAAGTTGTTGATGACGAAGGAGTGCTTCTTATTCTTGCAGTTTTTTGGTTTTAATCTTATTTGACTTCCATTTTTGCTACATCATTTGTCTGAAATAATTTAGTTTCCATACAGAAAAATGTAATTTTCTTGTTAATCAGTTCCATCTACAGAACGTTTACGGGAAGGTTCAGCACATCCTTATTATTTATACTGACAATATGAGGATGGGAAGATTAATGAATTAACAAAGAGAAGTGATGCAGTTATTATTAGACCAAAACATGTTCAATATGCAAAATAAAAAACAGCATGAAACATATGCATTGTTGGCCATATGATAAACCAATCTATATAATGAGTTAATCTATGAGCTGTGAAGTTAATCAGTTGATTCTTCATTTCTCTTAACTCATTTTTTCTTTATAACTTTATTTGCTTACACAGTTTAACTCAATGATACGATAAAATAAACAATACCAATAAATAACACCTACCTGCTGGTAAATAATTGCCAAGACAATTTTTTGAAATAGGGTTTGGGAAAGGGTATCACATGGATGGATATCGATGAAAATAACGCGAGAATAACGATGGTCAATAGAAAAGGACAGGGAGTGGATATCTTGGCTAATATAGTTTTCTTGAAGACTTAAGCAACAGTGGTCAGAATAGCAGAAATGTGCTTTCAGCAACGTATCAAACTCGGTGATTCAACTGAAATTACTAGGTATTCTCTCTTTGTGGAATAATTCAAGCTTTTTTTTCCACAGCGGGGCGGAACTCTTTCGTTGATTGCCGGTGATGTTCAGTTTGGCAAATTCCATTGTTTCTCTTCTTTTTATTCATAATAGCTATTTGTATAGTATTGATTTCTCGAAATTTCGATTGGAAAAATGAAAAAAAAAGGATCGGAGAATGGCGAAATGGCAGAAATTGCCGAAAAAAAATTGCAGAAAAAAAGCAGAAATTGCCATGTTGAGCTCAAACTTTTGCATTTCCTGGTTTTTTCCAGTGGAAAAAAGTGAGAAAACATAAGACATGTTGGCTAAGTGAACATTGTTAAACTATTTCACTTTTTTGGAAGTGTATATATTTTTTGCTTTAAATTAATAATGGATTATTCAATTCATTGTAGTGAAAAGTTCCGCATCTCGCGGAACTTTCTTGATCTCTTTTTTTCAACAGGATGCAATTATGCTTGTTAATTGACTTAAGAGAAATGATAATTACTTCAGTTTGGATTTTTTTATCTGTATACGAACCCTGCAATTTTGAATTAAGTTTTTATTTTTCTGCATCAAAGTTGAAATTTTTATTTAAATTTTAACGAGTTTTAATTTTAAATTTCAGTCAGTTTCAAATTACTGAGTAAATTGAGGTTGAAATATGTCCATTTAGGATATTCAAATCGTGATTAGTCATGTAATGAAATTTTAAGATATGTAATTATTCTATAAAGTTTTAAGGTATGTAATTATTCTATGCAACTCATGTGAATTTTCGAATATATTCTGATATTGCAGGAAGTTTCTCACCGTTTACAGCATAAACAAAAAAATATTTTATGTCTTTAAGGTAATTTTGCGGTACTTTCTCTATTCCATAAATATTTGGATTTTTTCTGCTGAAATAAATGACCTTTCAAACAATGGCCTTTTTTAAACATGTTTTGCTTAAAAAATACACAACACTGATTTATACAATTTTTATCGCAATATTTTTTACATGCAACTTTACGCGTAAAACATTAAGCATGCATACACCTTTACGGATAGCCATTTATCGGTATATCCCAGTTCCGGCATAATCCTTTTAATTAGAACATACTGTTTGACACATTATTTATCGAATCTTTTTTCAAAAAAACCCTTTTATGGAGTATTAAAATTTTCAAAAATTTGATAAATTGATTTATTACACTCTTTCAGCAATAAATAAATGTGTCAGTAATATATTGGTAGTTCTGATGATTGAATGCAGTTTGATTAAATTAGATTTTTGGTTTCTTCTTTCAACAGTTCTCGTGATTGTTATTGATTAATCAAGTAAATGTTAGGGTCGACTGCTCCAAAAAATTTTTGACTGTTCCTTTACGGAAAGCATTGTGACAGGTTTTTTTGACGGAAGAGAATATGAATTTCCAAAGTAATGTGATTAATAAGCATTTATCAATAGAAATTTATTAATTATGCTTTGAAATATCTGCAAGTGGAGAATGATTTGGTTTTTGCATAGCTGCACTGAATTTATCTCTTTATAGTTTTAAATATTGACTTTACTTCATTCGTTTTTCATCTCTTAATTTCATCTAAACATACTACTCGACCGAATTTGGAAAATGATTTGAAGTTCTCATCCTGTTGATTTCTTTATTGCCAATCATTCACCCAATTTTACTAATATTATCCTTATCTAATTTCTCATTTCTTCATTAATTAATTGATATTACAATATTTTTAAATGAAAATGGGATCATACTATTGAAACCATTTGGTTCATAGCCATTAAACGAAAAAAGGAAAACCGAGAGTGACTGCTATTTACCAATTCATCAGGAATTAAATTAAGTTATGGTTTCAATATCACATACGGGACGAAGTCATCAATTACAAGTTTTTGAAGCCCATCTAATTCTCTAATTTTTTTAATTCCTATGACAGTAAACATAATCATAATTTTTTCTTATCAGCGATTTATTGTATTTGTTTGACAATCATCATCAAGAAAGCAATCTTATTTTATAATAATTATTTTGAATAATGTAAGCAACACCTGGTCCCATTAATAATTGCAGTACTAAAAAAAGTAATGACTTTGATAGGAGGGAGTTATTAGATGTAATGTGCAATAATTTTCTTCTCCTTTCTGAAAATTATCATTCAAGAATTGGGTATTTTAGCTGCGATCTCTCTTCTCAATTACATTTTTTTCTTTTAACTGCAATATACTTTTGATATGTAAAGATGTGACGCATTGATATTTCACAAATTATTGAATAGCTGTTGAATTCATCGTATCACTTCCCTCCTCCCTTTTTTACAATTCAAAAAAAGAGATAATTAATGAAGAGTACACTACTCGTTGAGCTGAGGAAGAATTTAAGGTCAATTAATAAATAAATAAACAAATATTGGCAATTAATTTTCTCAAATATTATATCAAGCTTCCATCACTCAATAAATATTTTAACTGTTAATTTTTCCTACTTCAAAGATTATTCGCTCTTATTTCAACAGATCTTTATTATTTAAAATATATGCATCTGTTGACTTGAGGAAGAATTAGAAATCGATTTAGTGGAATCTTTGTTGATATTCCTGATAGCAGATTTTTTTAATTACCAATGTTGAATTAATTCTGAAGCAGATAAATTTGTAAACTGCACAGTTATAATAACATCGTAGCAATGATAGTATGAATATCACTGATAAGAAAATAATAGTGGAAATGTAAGAACAAAATAAATTATTGATGTAGCGAAGCAGTTATTTTTCTTTAAAAACAAAACTTGAATGATTGCAACGGATCAAATTTATCATTTATTGATATCCCAAAGGTACCCAAAACATGTTACAGAGTAGAGAGGATATTTTCGCAGCGGAATGGAAGAGCTACTGGACGTCTATTAAACATCAGTTGGATCATCTGGGTACCATTGGTGATAATACTTATCATTTCTGGAAGTGTGTACCTACACATGCACGATCGGTTCGTTACTTTTCATTCCAACGATTCAATCATCAAATCTACGTGCAAAATATCATTCTGCTTAGCAAATATTTTGCTGGAAATTTATTTTTCTGTTTAGCTTAAGCAACCAAACCGTTTGCTCTTGTGGAAGGCAACAAATAAACATCTAGAAACAGCAGGTGTGATAAATGTATGTGGGAATCCAACGTGGACAACAACGAGACATAGCTGGCTTGTGGTTGCTGTTTTTAACGATGCCGTCGCAGTTATTGAGGTTTTCTGAAAATGACTTTTTTTTAACTTTACTGACCTAAGAAATTTCTATTTAAAGGAAAACAGTAGAGTTTTTGATTAGATCCAATTATTTAGCGAATCAGATGTCGTATTATAATAAAATTAAGAATTGAATGTAAAAAATTATCAGCATCAGAATAGTTTGGTGAACTCTTTGGATAAAAATATTTTGAAATCACATGTGGTCTATGAAAATACATTTTTGTTGAAAAACTTGAAGCACTTAAGATAAATTAAAGAAATACTACCGTGTAGCTGTTTACAGTAACACTCTAATTTGTTTTAAACATATTGATTGTAACATATGTTTAAAAATTGATTATAACATGATGATATCATCAATGATTCCTCAAAGGATGAATTGTGCTTTACATATGATCGAATCTATTGCGATTATTATGTCGAAAACAGGGTACTTTCAGGTATCTTAGAACGATAGTGAAATTTAAGATGATTTGATAATTATCAAATAAGATGTATAAAAGACATTTCCAGAAACAAAACATTATTGTGCTGAATTTTCCATTGGTTTGGATAGAAGTAAATGAGGAAGAAGGTAACGAATGTTTGGTACGAGTATTTGGTCCGGAAAACAAATTTCATATTAGATTTGCAAATATTGAATGCAAGGTGTTGTACAAGTCACAAATTTATGTTCCTATGTTTTTCTCATGCATTTCGTTAAACACATCTATCTTCTGTTCACTATCGCACCTTAATGATATCATCAAAAAGGAAAGTTATATTGAAAATATCAGGAAAGGAATTTGGGTAGCTAAAATATGAATTACATAGCATATTAGACATGCAGTATGTTAGGCATGCAATGAGCATGTGATCTTTCGAATTGTGTGTTTAATAAACTTTGAGGCAGATGTAACTGTTCTAAAAAAGTGGAACGTTATTTAATAAGATTTCTGAATAGAGACTTTACTTCCTCTCATCTTTTCTTTAGAAGGGTCTTTAAATTTTAGGCATGTGAATTTTTGTAAAAAATAAACTTTCTATGAAAAAATTTTCCAGTCGTTACATTTCTTTACAGTTCTAATTTATTCTTTCATCATTCCGGATATTCCGAAAAAAAATCTTTATGTTTCAGCACTTCTAACTTCTTTCGTTGAATTTACAACGAATCACATATGCAATGTTTATTGCCTATTCGTAGTAGATGAATTTTACACTTAATTTCCATTTTAATTGTTTTGGTTGAAAGCCAAGCATGTTTTTATTATTCTAGAATATATTTCTGCATACCATGCGGCAGTGGAAGTATTTCGATGAACGATACACGGCAGGTAATATTTTGGAGAGATGTACTGTCGAACTACCCGAATGGCGACGTGGTTACTACAAATTTTCATCTCATCATCCTGATTTTGCAAATTGCACTTATGATGGTTATTGGTTATATGGCAAACCCCACGGGAGGTACCATTTTTGGCTAATATTTTTTACTATGAACCTAAAAGCAAAATTATTTATAGGAGCTTAATATATTTAGGCTTTCGATTTACTGCAAATATTCTGCAAAAAAATGACTTTTGATGTGGATTTCTTAACCCATCATGGGCTCTTTTTTGCATTTTCTGATTTCGGAGAACTTTTTTGTTGAAAAATTTTTTATTAAGTGTATAGAAATATCTGCAGTCTAATTCTGTCGAATTTAGAAATCCTTTTCTGGAGCCATCATGGTTCAGTGATTATATAGTAAATTATATAATTTTTCATAATCCTACTGACACTTTACCATTCATTTTTGCTGTTTTTTATTGTAGGGGATGTCTCGCGTGTCCTAACAAATGGGAGTATCGAGGATATTTTGCTTATGGACGTTTAGAAGGGTGCGTTAATTTTCATTCAATTTATGCTTTAACTTTATGCTTTAGTTTTTATGCTTTATTTATGCTTTAATTTTAGTGTTTCCGCTAATAAGTTATCTGCAATTTATTGTGACAGTTTATAGATTTGTATGTAATTTTTCTTGATATATGAGACTAAATAATTTATGTTAACTGATGAGTCGAAAGAAACTATATGAATAATTTGGTTTTCAGTTGTTGATTTTTTCAGTTATAATGCATTTTTGTTGTTTAGTTTGAAGAGTATTCCTATTCTTTTTTGTTAACAAATATTTTAGTGAAAGCAGCTGAGGAATTATAGGTTCGGAAAAATGTCAATAATTACAAGTGAAAATTTGTGTAAGATCAGCGCACATCTCGGTGGCAAGAAACAAGGAACATCAGAAGTTGAAATATACACTGGTTTTTGGCGTAATGGTTATCTAGATGGACTAGCTCATATTACGTGAGATTTTTTTACAAAAATTCACAGTGAAATTATTGGGGATGATATTTTCCCTATTATGCTTCTCGTCAAAGCGTTCCATTAACCATATCGTTCTTGCATTATCTGATGGCGGTACGTTCATTTCTTTTTTTTTTCAGATTTTCAAATGGTGACACATATGAGGGTTATATGCAAAAGGGACTAAGACATGGTTATGGTGTGTTACATGCATCTAAAGATGATGAGACGGAAATATACTTCGGTGGTTGGCAAGCAGGGATGCGTTCAGGATATGGAGTTTCTACAAGCAATAGTACTTTATTTTTGCTAAAATTTTAACGAAAATTTAATCTTACCAAATTAATTTTCAGCTATCTCTACTTTCAAAATTTCAGAATGTGAGTATGATTCTTTTTTAATTATTTCTCATACTGAATACCTCGTCGTACCCATTAGTATTTATGCATAAGTCACCATTAGTATTTATGCACGATTTCTGAAATAATGTTGAGTGTTTGCAAATTTATTTTTCATCTGTAAGTGTAATGTTTATGTTCCATAACAATAATATAAAATACTGGTTCTTTAGAAGAACGTTATTTGGGTATGTGGAAGAATGACACAAGGCATGGTAAGGGTACTTTGATAGGTATCGAAGGTGTGTATCATGAAGGACAGTTTGATAACAACCGTTTGGTGGTGCGTTTTGAATCTAAATGAATAAGTTACATCAATGCAATTTCTGGATTTTTAACTGAAAGTCTTAAAGGACAGCAGTTTCAATGTATAAGAAATGCGCTAGGATAAGGGACCTTCCGAAAATTTTTTAGACTCATCGTCTTAGATTCGTCTTTCATGAAGATGAGATTAGATGGTTGTGGCTTTCCTGTTCCCGATTTTATCTGTTGAAAACGCATTCAGTAAGGGTCTGTTTGAAATGCATTTTGAAATTTGATCGGTTTTTCAAGCTAATCAAAATAGGTTTTTTTCGAAAATGTATTTTGGATGTTAATTAGAGTTTTGCAGTGTGGTCGTTTGATTCTATCTGCAGCAGATGGTTATTCCCAAGTAGCTTTCGAAGGCGATTTCGAGAAGGCTGGTATTATTTCTGGGAAGGTAATCTTCGATTAAAGACGTAAAATTCCGGAAATTTTTGAAAATTTATTGATCATAGTGATCTTGTATAGTACTGCACAGTAACTATTTGGAAGTATCTTGCTGCTATTACATTGTAAAAGATTTTTAAAGATTTTGTAGATATGTAAGATGGATTTCAACTTATAAGAAAAAGTACTTGCAGGGGACGCTTCATCTGAATCAGTTCGATCGTATAGAAGGGCGAATGATAGGTGACATTATCAATGGCGAAGTGAAAATCATCAATGCCACTTATTGGAGGCAAAAACCTATGATGCTGACATCTTTTTCATTAGACAAGTGAATTTTGAATAACATTAGTTTTACTGTTTTAACAAGCGCTTTTTTAATTATAGTTTTTGCTTTCAGTGATATTCCATCAACAACAAATCAGTGGATAATTGATGCGGAGCTGAAATGGCAAGAACTTTTCCAAAGTTTCTTAGTGTATGATTTCGGTGTTCCAATCCATATAGCAAACGCTGTTGATGTTAGCGAAGTTGCTGACGATGCATGTCGTGTTGCTATATGGAATTCGCTTGCGTCCAGTATGACGAAGATTCGTTTAGGAATGAACAAAGAAGAAATTAAGTGTGTCGTTTCTAATAATTTCTAGGTTTTAATAGTGAAGAGTTATAGATTATCGGTAGCTACACCCCAATCAACCCATAATAACCTTAATATCTGACGCTTTTTCGTGCTATTCGTCACTAGCAGTTGGCATTATCTTCTTAGCTCTAAAAGAATTTCTTTTTTAGAGTTACATTCGATAAGAACCTTGAAAAGATTCCGCAGTACACATTAAAATGGTCGGGTAAATATTACGAGATGGTGCAACAGTATTGGAACTTGGTATTTTTTCAAAATTGTACATGATTTCTGCCATTTTCTTGTTTGCTTCAGATCTTAATATGAAATTCAAGTTAATTTTTAACTTCTATCGTTCATTTCAAAAGTAAAAATTTTGTTCGTGATTCCTAATATATTTGGTATGCTTTTTTTGACCTGAAGGTCTGATGTTAATTTTTGCTAGAACTCTAACTCTGATAGGCATTATTGCTTATCTGCTTATAAAATAGGTACTTTGTAAAAATACGGCTTCGTAGGTCCATATTTCTACGCATTCTTTTATTGCAGGCCCTGATGCATAAATATCACCCCCTTCGACGATTGGTGTTCGGTTTATTTGAAGTTTTCACGGGTTCTTATGGCACAATTGGTACTCATCGAGCTATTTGTAGACAAGCTGTTTGTGAATTGCGCAGTATACATTCGAAAATTTATTCTGTTATGAGGTGAACCTAATAATAATTGACGAAACAGTTCCTACAATTTCCTAAAATGTATCCCGGGAATTTGCAAAATGTCACTCATTTAAGCATTTTTTCTATTTTCAGATTATTATTCAGCAGTCTACCTCATACCTATGAAATGTTTGCTCCTATACCAGTGTGTACAAATAATCTAACATGCAAAAATATCGATCTTGATTCACATTCAACTAAGAACACGTGAGTTTACTTAATTCTCAGTATTTATTCTCTTTATTATCTTTACAAAGTATATTATAAATGTAAGTGGTTAATTAATTTATTAGACAAATCTGCTCAGTCGTGAAACATATCACTGCTTCAAGTATTTAAAATGTTTAAATGATATATAGAGGAGACGTTGTCAAAATGTTATGTAGAATAAGGACTCTCCAGAAAAGATGATAAAGCCATTCATCGAACTATTCCCTTCAATTAGTGTTAAATTATAACATATAATAAATATATGCAAGTTTTCAGGAATAAAATTGAACGAAATGATGAATCGAACTTTAGAGCATCTCCTTTACATCCTTCATGCAATTTTATTGTTGAAACAACTTTCTCGAAGTGTTATGCCATAATCTTCACACTTTATTCAGTAAATTGTGCTGACTTGGATCGAAGATATTGGGAAAGAGTTGTTTATTTGAATGCCTTTACTGATGTGAAATTACTTGCCTATCTCGAAATAAAACGGTAAGGCTTCGAATTTAAATTTTATCGATTGCGTAAAGAATTTTTTTCGCTAAAAAATTTTATTGGATCTAAAACTTTTCTCATCATTGCATCGCGAAATTTTCGTTCAAAATCTGTTTTCTCCACTCTTCTCAATTTTACATTGAGAATTCAGTTATTAAAAAAATTTTTTGTGTGAGCCAATGCTCCAAACTAAGTTTTCAATTGGCTATAAAAAGTGAGACATTTTAAGTTATCCTTCTTGAGCTTCGAGCTTTTATGAAACTTCCAATCAACTACAGTTAAATAAAGTGCATTCGAGCTCAGTGCTCTGTTTATGAATTATGGGTTTTTTGATTCCCGTTTCGAAATCTTCTATTTGATTCTCTATAAACTATTACAAGTATTACTTATCCTCAACCAATTCTGAAAATACCATGTAAGAAAACATTTATAACTTGTTCATTTATGAATTACAGGGATCTCTGGCCGATTAATACTGAAAAAGTCGATGACCTTGATACATCATTGGTGAGTTTTCAATCAAATCAAATTAGCATATCTCGGCTTCTTTGAGTATGAGTGCGGTGATATTTGGTACGGTTCAAAAGTGCGCTGTCCATAGAAATGAGTTACGAAATCAAGACACTTTAATGAGGTATCCCGATCTGTTTAGAAGTGAAATCAACCCATAATTTATAGATCCGTGCTACTGCTCGCAAGAAGTTCTACAAATCAGCTATTCAAGCATTGCAGCAAATCAGTTCACATTCCAACCCAACATCCAAACTTGCAGCATTGGCAAATGCGTTTAAGGAAATTGAAAGGGTTAGTTTTCCTTATTGTTACATTCTTACAATTATACAGCTGTATCGCTTTCCAATGAAATTTGGAATATTTCATAAGAATTTTAAGCAGCGAAAAAAGATTGCACAATAATCCCAATATTTTTTTAAAGATTTTTCTGTCTCACTCATCACTCTGTCTAGTGTATTTACTCCTAGTTCAGGATTTTGCAATTTTCTGTTGACATTGTATTACACTTCGGAGAGTGAATAAATAGGGGGAGAATAGGGCCGAACTAGGAAAGGGCAAAAAACAATAATTTTTGATATCTAATGAAAAATGAAGTCCTCTTATTGGTACACAATGTCCTCAAATTCTCTGATTTCTAAAATATCCATAAAAATCTGAAATAAATAAACTGTCTGACGTCCAAATCATGGATGTTCATGGGTTGGCACAATTCTCTTCGATATCTGTCTTTTTGTTCGTGAAAAATATAAACAAACATGAAATGCAAATTATTTTCAAATACGAAAACATCAACCCCTATATATAGACAAAAGATGTGTAGGCACACGACAACAATGAAACGTAATTCCATGAGAGTTGACATTACACGTTAAAAAAATATTTTTTCTACAATAAAAAAAACACGATCACTTCAAAATCAAATCAAACGGAACGTATACTGAGGTAGAAAATAGGAAGACCGTTTAGTGATCAGGTATGATAACAAGAAAATGTTGAGGTTTGAAGACATTACTCCTGAACTACATTGAAACATTTTCAGTTGAAGAGATGAAACATTTAATGGAAATAGAGATGAGATATCAAAATTGTTTGTCCTGACTTTAAGTTTAATGTGTCTTTTATTGATTGCGCAACTGCTTGTGAAAGCAGCTCTCAGTAACAACAAAATTATCTCCCATTTAACCATTCAGTTTTCTTAAATTCATCTATTATCAATAAAGAATATCGCACAATAAATAAGGAATCAAATAATAGAAATAAAATAACTACTACTACACAGAATCATTAAGCATTAGAATAACAAATGTCAATTATTTTTACCCAACATTTTCATGTTTTGAGGAATATTAATCACCCGAAATTGATATTACAATTTAGTTTGCTATAGGATTGGACGGTTTTGTCTTTCCAGATAAAAAAAAGATTACCATAACATGAATTTTTTTTGTTAATCGTTCATTAAATGATCGCGAGTGACTAACAAAGAGTAAGCTAAGATGAAGGGAAACTTAAGAGATTACAGCTGGCTATGAATTTTCAAAAATGAGGAGAATTTAAAAGCACATTTAAATGAAAAAATGAGTAGATTATTTGGTTGTGAAGTAAGTTGTGTCGTAATGCACCGTCCGATATTCATTTTAACATTGATTTGATTTAACCTCCTTCCTCTTATAATTGCATTATTAGAAAAAAAAGCTCTACGAACCAGGATTTCTACTAGTTTTCAGGCTTATCTAGAAATACTTCTAACAAATGGTAAAAAAAAAGTTGATTTCTTTTGTCATCTAATGAATAGAGAACATATCCTCAGAATTTTCCATGAAAAACTTACATTACAAAACTAGGAATCAAGCATAGTTTGTAGAATGCGATCTAAAAGTGTGTTGAGAATTGGAACCGGTACCGCAACTGATTCCGGTACCACTGTACATGATGAATCTTGCGAGTATTTTTCATCAGAAACAGATGATGATGCCGAATTTGATAGCTTCGCCGGTAAGACAAATGCATGAATCACTGGAACATCCGAATCCTTGTAATTTTCTAGTTCCTTACAGAGTTCTTCATCTATTGCTGAATTTGGCCAACATTTTTTATTCTCATTCTCATTCGAAGTGATGGTAGTAGCAGCAGCATTTTCACTGAATATAGGTCGATCAGGTGATGGAATGCTTTTCAGTTCTGTTCTGCTTGAATTTTCTGATTCTGTATTCCTTGTAGATTGCTTCTGTTTTTCGGATTTACCATTAATATCGTTTTCTTCCACTCTACTTTCATTGACACTTGTACTGCGGATCATATTTTCTTTTTTCGTTGGCAAAGGAATGTTTGAATGAAGAGCGATAGCTGCCATACATTCCAGAAATCGTGCTTCCATGGCTGGTGGACGGTGCTGGAACCTTATTTTTGACAGGCAATATAGTGAAAAACATATAATTTCATGGTCAAAATTAAGAATTATAGTAGGACAACAAAACTCCCATGTGTCGCCTAACAAGCTCTACAAATTTGATTGAGTTAAAAGGTGGAAGGAAAGGGAATGAATGTTTCCCTGTAAGTACACATAACATTCTAGATTTAAAAAAAAAGCCAACAAAATTTCCTTACTGAGTGCATACGATTGAAAAGTTTAAAAGCTGAATCATGAAGAAAAAACGAACATTTACGGGATGATGACGGTCTGGTGAATTTTGATCAAACAGGCCAGATATTGTACACTTCTCTTTGTTAATTTTCGAGCTTCCATCCAATAAATCTTTGTTGTCGAGTTCCACCAAACATTGTTGTTGGTTTTTCCCTGAGTTACACGCTGAAAACAAAAAATTGTCACACCAACCATCCTCACCATAACGCTGTGAAACACTATTCATTTGCAATTGTCATGCTCTTAAAATACAAAGTCAGCGAATAGTAAAACTAATATTTTTTGCTAAACAATTTTGGAAATATTTATTTTATTGGTCCTTCCAATCTATAATATGAAAAGCGAATCAAGACATAAAAATTGATGAACAATAGAAAAACATAGCATTTTTCCCAATTTTTTATATAAAAATTAAGGATAGAACCTATTTATAACAAAGTCATCTCGAAAAAGAACTGTAAATGTAGATAAGATAAAGCGCGGATGAAAATAAGGCAAATTTTCTTAAGCTCTTAGATGAGACACAGGAAGGTTTATTGAAAGATAATCAAATGAATAAAGGATCGAATTAACAACATAAGCTCAGAACTGTTATAAAACATTTCTTAAATTCTTTTTTCTCATGGCCCAATTTACATCTATTTCAAATTTTCGAAATAATTAACCTTTTGTGGATTTCTGCAAGCTCCGTCGTCCACTTTCATCGTTGGCACCTACTCTGCTCCGCTTTCCGCATATCACTTCTGTTTCTCGCTCAGTAGTGTGATTTTCACTACAGAGAGATCGTAGTATTGACATTTCATCGTAAGGCCTTTTCATTTGAATACGCTGCTGTTTACTACTATTACTGTTATTATGCGATGAGTTGTGATTTAATGGGGGATTTAGCTGTTGAACCAGGGAAGATGCGATACCATTAAGTGACATATGAGATATCGTACCACTTGAACATGTCTGTTCACTGACAGCAGATGATAATGACGATCCATTAGCCAATAAATTAATCTAAAAATGGGACGATAAAATTAAAACATGACCCATTTATATGTTAGCGTATATGCATATTATAAACAGAGTACATGTTGTCTGCGAATTTTTGAGGAATTTTACCAGTTAAACTCTTAAAGGTATATAGTCTGGAATATCACTAAGATCCAGATTTATCTATGTTAGCGCATCATGCATTTTTTCTTTCATAGAGCAATATAAGAATATTGATGTCTTATTTTTAACGCTTGCAGAAAAAAGAAAATAAAGAACCTGTGCTTGTAGTAAAGACCTCTCAATAGCAGTTGTATCACCGGTATCCTTACTCATAACATCAGGTGTGAATACACCATTTGCATTTGCTGGAACTGAATATGGTGAGAAGTTTGGATCACCAAGTTGTAGCATTCGAAACTGTGGCGCTAACAATCCCAATGCAGCAGCAGTAACTGGTGGAAGGACATTGAAAGCAGCAGGAAAAAATCCTGCAGCAGCTGTAGCCATTTGCATTTGCATAAGAAGTAAATCAAGGGATTGTTGTGACGATGCTATAGGAGGTACAGGAGGTATCGGAGGTAGTGATGATGGTTGTGTAAGTAAGGAAGGAGCAGTAGTTATAGAAGCACCAGGTAAGTCCGTATTTATTGGTGAAAATGCTGAGCAATGATGTGCCAATGAGGTATTTATTGATTGTTGTTGTTGTTGTTGCAGAAAGTTACGTTGTTGTTGCTTTAAGGAGGACTGTAATTGTGGTGGCAGTAAAGAATACAATCGATCATTACCTACAAATAATGATGAAAGGCATGCTGGTGAGGATGGTGGTGTTGTAGCTTTATGTAATGTTGCATGAATATCATTGGTATTTGCAGTAGTAATAGTAGATGGTAAAGCAGTTGCATTAACAGTAGTAGCTAAATGAGAATTTTGCTGTAATTGGTTATGTAGTTGAGCAGCAGCAAGGTATGCTGCTTGCAATGCAACAGGATCAAATAATGGATTAATAGCAGCTGAAGTAGCTGATACAGTTGTTGAAGTAGATGTTGGCACTTTATTTGTTTCCATTTTCTTCACTCCTTTAACAGTTCAGCAATACTTTTAATAATAATAATGCCAACCGCACTGCATTAATTTGGTCTTAAAAGAAGTACCGTGAAATTAAAAAAATTAGTAAAATGAAGAGAAGGAGGAGAGATGTATATACACTTACGGTGATCGGAATGAATGAAGAAAGGGTTGGATGCAGCAGAGAGATGGCTGTTGCTATTGCTGGCTGTAGTGCCCACTCCCTTTAACCGAAGTACAACACCACGTAAATCATTGCAGGATGGCGATTGTACTACTATTTTACATATAAATATCATTAAGAGAGAAAAACATAGAGTGCATTTAGTGAAGTGCTTCTTCTGTTTTCCATCCCTTTTCTCTTCATATGAAAAATGTATCGGCAAATATCCTGCGCGATGTACTTCAATAAATCGTTTAAAAACAAAGCTTAAAAAGTCTGTTAAGCTAACGAGAAGAAAATGTAAGTCTTGAAAAACAATTTTTTCTTTCTACAATTTTATTTAACCGTATTTTTTAATTAACTTCTCATAGTACCACTTCCATTTTCCGCATTACTATTCTGTCTTATACTACCACAGTCATTTTTCTGCTTATTTCCTACTCTTATTTATGTATTCCATAGCTAAAAGTGCAAATAATATGGGAGTTCGTTGCTATAAGATAGATGGGGGAGAGGAATGAATTCACTTCTTGTACTTATGTTGATTGATGATTAGTAGCAAAGTTAACAAAAAAAACCCTCCCTCTAGTTCTATTTATTTTCATTAAGATGTTAATCATCTGAACAATAACTGATGATAAGTGAACTGATGAATAACTGATGAACTGATGATAAGAATTGAAATTGCAACTTTATAACGAATTAAATTATTTAAATTACAATAATTGGACAGTGTCGCTTAAAGTCACATTCAAATATTATCTACTTTGTAGAATATATGTTCTTGCGCGAGATTGCGAAGTTTTAGGATAACTCTAACCGTACATTTATTGAATAAATGCCATTTTACATAAAACTAAATTATAAGACTTCAATTCAAGTATATCAATTCTGGACGGATTAGATGTCATTGTGTGATCGTGATAAGAGCGGTTTTCGCATTCTTTAAATTACAGTACATCTATTATTTATTCATCACAATTACTATTATCGCTTGATACTGCGGCATTAATAAACTTTTTTTACGAACGTTTTTATTTAAATTACAAAAAGTGCATCCATTTCAAAACATTATTAGTTATTTATAGAGGAGATATCTTCGTAAGTTCAATTTTACATGCATAATATGACATATATCTATTATTATTTCTCTAAAAAGTATTTAACAAATTTCTAATTTTAAACATTTGTGAGTATTAAGAATTTTAACTTTAATTTAATTAAAAAAAGGTAAATTAATGATCAAAAAAAATGGGATGAACTTATTAACTGAAATAAAATACAGATTTGATAATGCTTGAAGGCTTGCAGAGAAGTATTTCTCATCAAATTTAGCAGATAAATTCTTTAAGAATGTTGAAATTTGAAAGATGGAGAGAGAGAGAGAAAGAGAAGAAAGGATATGCTCGTAACACATATAACTAATAGAGTATTATCAATAAAGATAGGGTAAAGTAAAGTAGGCCTTTAGGAAGAAATATTTACGATTGAGCAAATGGAAGAGATGGAAAGAGCAGTACACCCGAAATCTCGTCAGCAACAATCTTGTTTTTCATCAAAATCGACACAAAAGTGCATTAGATTTTTCTGCACAAAGTGCAATTTATACGAAGAATTCGCTATTCTATGTTTTCCTCATAAACTTCTCCAGAAAAAGAAAAACAAAGTATTTAAAATGGCCTTAATCTAGTTGTTTTAGTCTTGACAAGATAAGAGAAACTGCAATTATTAAATAAAGTATGAAATGTTTTAGAATCCTACTCTTTTAAATTTTCCATTTTTAAATTAATCTAATTAAATTGAACTTCTACTAATGATCTAAAATCAATGAGCGGATTACGAGCAAACCCCTAACTAATAACTTTGTAATTAATTTTTTCTTTTTTCGAGATTCTCTACACTCGTGTTAAGTTACTTCCTTTTGAAATATACGTAAAATCAAGCTATCCTTCGATGGATGCAATCAGAAAGTAATTACCAATTCTTCCTAAACGATTAATTTTACATATTAAATATTAAGAGTTATAAAATGTAGAAAATTTTAATTAAGAAAAGGCGGAAAAAGTTTAAAGAACCTCCACGAGAATTCTCCAATTCCCTAATAAACGAATTATTTTCATTCATCTCTTAGCGCATATTATTGCAAGCATTTCCAGAATTTAATCTCAATCTAAGCATCTCATAACTTATTTTCATTTTACTTCTTAATTCTCCCCATGAGATATAATTTTGATTCCTGTCACTGCAAAGGTTTAAATTCATTTTTCCGTAGGGACTCATCATTATCTTTCTATTCTAAAATTCCAAAATTTGACACCGAAATGAATCCTTTGTCATTCAGATGTTTTGTGGCATTCTAAAATTTTACTTTGATGTAAAAAATAAACAAAGGGCAAAGATCAGATATTTTGAGAACGATGGTCTTTCAACCACCAGGTAATATATCAAAATCTGGAGCACATTGCTTTTTATAAAAAGTAAGTCCTCATAAACTTTAATTCGAAAAAATTTTACAATGAACTGCCCTCTTCTCCACACAATCTTTGAAAGTACATTTTTTTTGAAATTTTTAATTGACATAAAAAAGAACTCAATTCGTTTTCTCCAAAAAAACATATTTAGCTATTAGAAGATATTTTGGAATTTATTAGTTTCCATAGCTCTATGAAAGATCGAGCACATAGCAGATATCACTCATCTTCTTTCCTCCAACTCACTAATTAGGTTTTAATAGTACGAAAGAATAAGTTAATCACTGTGCAATTCATTGTGATTACAATAACTTAAGAATTACGACAGTGTTTATAAATGTAGAACATGGGAATGATTTTATTTATTTTGAGATATCAGTATATATGAGGCATATGGATGGATAGAATGGTGACAGCCTAGACTAAGTAGCCTAATCAGGGGAAAGATGCTGGAATTGTTTGTTAAACGTGACATGAACTTTGATATGGTTAAAGTAAATGCAAGAAAAATGATGGAGAGTAGTTTGAGTAACGCATATGTACACATCGTGTTAATTCCAAGTAAATTTTGTTGTACAGAAAGAACTGTAATACGCCGAGCTAAATATATTTCAAGTTGATTAGAGAAAAGTGTAGTAGAAAAAAAGTGAGACGGACGCGAGAAAGAGATGAGTGAAACTTGTTCCAAACTATTTCATGGCACTAAATGAAGATCTCACTTGGTTTGATAGTCTCGATATTGAAGGATATAAAGTCGATTAGGAACTAATGCTGAAACTTGTATTAATGTTGATAGATGAATACCCAATAGGGCAGACATTCTTTGTCACCATAGTAAAATGACTCACAGACAATAATGTTATCGGAAGAGAACTGATAAAAAAAAATGGTGTAGATGTAGACAGCCAAGTGTCAAGTGCTCGCGTGAAGCAAAAAGATTGCTGTTTAGAGGCGCGTGTGCGCGCGCATAAGGTCTTCATCTGATTGGATGAATGAAATGAGGGAAGAAGTGAGGAAGTAGAGAAGAGAAAAAGAGAATGATACGAAAAAGAAGAGCTGTCTGCAATGCAAGCAGAATGCAGGAGATTTGCAAGTAAGAAAGTAAGTCAATTACTAGAAGCAGAAACAAGGACGATGGGTGCAACATTCCATTATTAAAGGCGAGGTGGCGCGATGGCGATGACGATAACGACGACGATAGCGATGTCGACGAAGAGAAAAAGGGGGAGAGAAAGGAAAGATAGAAGATAGGGTGTTTGAAATGGAGACATATATGTGGTACTGTTGGAAGATTTTGAAGAAATAGAGCATTGGAGGAGTGATCGGAAGTGGGTATAGCAATCACACCTTTACCCCCATCCACTCTCTCACCAATTTTTGCATGATCCACCAGTTTCGAACTAATTTTTGACTCTTTCTATCTTTTAGCAATAACTTTCTGAAGTTTCATATGACGAATATCCATCCATCGGTTGGTTGATGACTTTAAGGATGATAGAATAATAATAATAATAATAATAATAATAATAATAATAATAATAATAATAATAATAATATT